TGGGAAACATTCACTTAGAAGCAGTGGTTCTCAACCTTCCTAATGCCGCGACCCTTTAATATAGTTCCTCATGTTGTGGTGACCCCCAACCATAAAATTATTTTTGTTGCTATTTCATAACTGTAATTTTGCTACCGTTATGAATCGTAATGTAAATATCTGATATGCAGGATGTATTTTCATTGTTACTAATTGAACATACTTAAAGCATAGTGATTAATCACAAAAACAATATGTAATTATATATGTGTTTTCTGATGGTCTTAGGCGACCCCTGTGAAAGGGTCATTCGACCTCCAAAGGGGTCACAAACCACAGGTTGAGAACCGCTGACTTAGAGTCTAGTGCACATGCATAGTTCCTATTGTCTTTCATTTTAGTTTCATTTTCAAAGTTACTTAGGTCAGTACCTTTTCCTTGGCCCCTTCAGGGAGGTTACCACTTATATTTCTAATACAGTTAGATTCTTTTGTTACAGCCTGCATTCCATCCTGGAATCCCCACTACCTCTTAATTATCTTCTTAAATTCTGCATACATTGTTTATTCTTTGTGCTGAAAAGCTCTACGGGTTTTAACAAATGCATATAGTTTCACCACCCTAAAAAAAAACCCTCCATTCTACTAATCAACCCTTTCCCCTCCCCAAACTCCCTGTTTCTGTTACTTTTTCCTAGCAATGTTAGGAAATGATGTACTTGACATCATTGCTTCTTATCCTTTCCCCTCACAACAACGTGTTCACATTTATAAGCTCCTGCGATTCTCACTTCAATCCTGAGTGTTCCCACTTAGCAGATGATTGAATTAAATTCAGAGTAAGTGACTTGGTCAAGATCTCACTAAGTGGTGCTGGCACTATTAACTTGTGCCTTTCAACCCTTGGTGTGATGCTCTTTCTACTACACAGCACTGTGTCCTTGTTTTCAGCTGGGAGGGAAATGGCTGTGCATAGAGACAAGAAGAAGAGAAGAAAGAAACGATGAATGGCAGAGACAAATGGCAGGGGAAGTGGGGGATTAGAGAGCAACCAAAGGACTTGTATGCATGCATATTAGCATAACCAACGGACAGACACTGGGGCGGTGGGGGCTTGCCCGGGGTGGGAATGGCTGGGGAGGGGGGGACAATGTGGGGGGGAGGGAAGGAGACACATGTAAAACTTTAGACAATAAACAAATAGTAATAGCCCTAACCCGTTTGGCTCAGTGGATAGAGCATCGGCCTGCGGACTGAAAGGTCCCAGGTTCAATTCTGGTCAAGGGCATGAACCTTGGTTGCGGGTACATCCCCAGTAGGGGGTGTACAGGAGGCAGCTGATCTGTTTCTCTCTCATCGATGTTTCTAACTCTCTATCCCTCTCCCTTCCTCTCTGTAAAAAATCGATAAAATATATTTTTAAAAAATAACAAATAAATAAAAATAAAGAAATGATGGATGGAAAGAAATGATGGATGGAAACTTTTACACTAAAAATATAAGAAAGTGGAATTCTAGTTCTGATCATTTGGTTAACTTCATAGTCCAAAAACCTTTCTACTATGAAATACAAGAGGCTGGTTAAATATATTTAAAAATATATCTTGCTAACTGCATCATTGAATCAGCAAGAAGGAATGAGAGATCTTTGGAGACCAAAAGGTAGTGAAGGTCCAGAAAGCTAAGTGAGAAATGAAGCCAGCAGCTACCCAAATCTCACAATGTATGAAAAACAAACACATCACAACTTCTCTAAATAAACTCGTTTGGTTTAACACTAGAAAATTATCAGAAATTCACCAAATTATCAGATTAAAGAAAAACAATTATAGGATCACCTCAGCAAATAGAGAAAGTAGCTGATTAAATTCAACACTCACAATTAAAAATCTAATAAGACTTTTAGCAAATATGGGATGGAAGAGAATTTCATTAACCTGATTAAGGGTGGCTAGCAAAAATCTACAATGTTATCCTTGATGGTGAAATATTAGAAGTTTATAAAAGTGTATAAGACAAGGATGTCCACTATCACTGGTTCTATTCAACTGCACTAGAGGTCCAAGCCAGCAATGAAGAAAAGGAGGAATAAATGGCAAGAATTGAGAAGAAAATAACAAAACAGTCACAGTTTTCTAAGGACATGATTACCTACATAGAAAAATTCCCCATACCCTACAAATGACAATTATTACGATTAAAAATAAAATTTAGCAAGGTTGCTAAATAGATGATCGATATACCAAAAATATATAGTTAGAAAATCTAATTTAAAAAATATACTATTTATAATGCTGGCCAAAAATATAAAAATGTACTGAGGAAGTTGCAAAATATGAAATCCTTTAAGAAAAATTATTAAACTTCTTTGAAAGACACTAAAGATCTAAATAAATGGAGAGTCATATTGTCTTCATAGATAGGATAATTTGATATGGTAAAGATGTCAGTTCTCTTCAAATTGATATATAGATTTAATGCTATACTAATCAAATTCCAGTAGGTTTTTTTGTGGTACTTAGGCAGGTTCAAAAAGATGTATAAGCCTGGCTGGTGTGGCTCAGTGGTTGAGCGTCAGGAGGTAAAAGTTTGATTCTCCATCAGGGCACATGCCCTGGTTGTGAGCTCGATCCCCAGTGGGGAGTGTGCAGGAGGCAGCCAATCAATGATTCTCTCCCATCATTGATGTTTCTATCTCCCTCTCCCTTCCTTTCTGAAATTAAAATTATATATATATATATATATGAAAGTGCAAACTGCAAAAACAAAAAGATACTCCTGAAGAAAAGGAGTAAGTACAGGACTTGCCCTACCAGTTCTCAACCCTTACTATTAAATTGGTCAGGTATTAGGCTAGGGATAGAAAAACAGAACAATGGAAGAGAAAACAGAGCCTAGAAACAGACCTGACCATGAATGTAAACTTGATATGAAACCAGAGTTAACATTACAGATCTGTGGAGAAATGACAGACTCTGCAATAGTGGTGCTGGGACAAGTGGTTTTTCATGTAGAAAAAAAATTAGGGATAATAAATGGTATTGGTTTAAGTAGCTTCGTTTTTGGTCATTTGTTACACAGCAATAGAAAACAAACATATACTTTAACAAGTGTAACAGGAGGCGGGTTTAAGAATGCCTATAGCAGCACTTTTCTAGGAATAGAAATACCTGAAAGACACTAAAGCCCAGCCAGTAGCAAATGGGTAACTGTGGTAAATTCACACAATGAAATATTATACAGTAGTAAAAATAAATGAAATGAACTCAGGTACCTTGTCAAATGTAATGTTGGAAAAACTAGGCAATTTATAGAAGAGTACATATATATAGTATGATTCAATTTATACAATGTTCAAAAACATTGAAAACTTAACAATATTTTATCTGTATGAAGAGGAAAGAGGGATCTAGGACCTAGGAAGGGCACACAGGACATGTCAAATTTTTAAGTAATGTTCTAGGTTATTTTGTGTGTTTTTTAAAGTTGATAGATATGAGTATTCATTTATAATTATTATTTACATATTATGCTGTTATCTATACACTCTTTGAATAACTAAAATACTTTTTAAAAACATTACTATGAACCCTTTAATCCTAAATCTTTCTGCATTTTATTTTATTTTTAATATGTTTTTATTGATTTTCGAGAGAGAGTAAAGGGAGAGACATTGATGTGAAAGAGAAACAATGACTGGCCTGGCAAAAAGTCTCACTGGTAACAATGTATAAGTAGTCATTTAAATTGGTTTGTTTTATAGTTTTGCTTAATTTAACTTAAACCATTTATAAGTTATAGTTGCATAAAAGATACAACATAAGGAATTTATATAGTTTTATATTTGCATATATTTCGCATCCTGAAATATTTTAATTTAACAAGAGAATCCTAAGTATCTACTTGGGTTTGAGAAATTCTGCTCTGGGTGATTGGGAGCCACTCAGGGATACAGAGAAATGGCAGATGTGTGCTTTAGAAAACTCACTCTGGCAGCAGTGTAGAGGGATGACTTGAAAGCATTTAAGGCAGAAAGGAAGCTGTTAATTTTAATATGATAAAACGGAGAGACCCTACATTACTCAGGGGATATGATGAGGAGATGCTCAAGCGTTAGAATCAAAAGGACTGGGTTGTGGGTGAAGAAAAAGAAGGCATCTAGCTTGACTGTCTCTTGGTGAGGTAAATACCACAGGAAGACAAACAAGTGGCCGTGAGGGGGCAGGAGGGAGAAAAGAGATGATGCATTCAGTTCCGCAATTACTTGAATTTTATTTCAGCCAAAAATTCCGTTATCTTTTCTGAGTCTCAGTGTTCTCAGTGACAGCTGCATTCACGAAATTACCAAATTAAGTATTATAGCGCTGTCTAAAAATACACAATGCGCTCCACATTATGCTGCAAATAAGTTATGAAAAATCAGCAAACGCCCAGCCCCTAACGGAAACTCAGCAGGGTTAAAGAGAGATGTGGCACATTTTTACTCAACACGTTGTGACCCACACCCACTTAGTACTGTGCTTTTTGCTGTCAGTCAGATGCCCTCTCTCGCTCGCGTATGTACTGAACTAGAGGTGGCGAGCCAAGCCCACGCGGAAGGTGCAAAGGGCACTCTCAAGGGACACACCCCGGGGACACCCCGGGGCTTGATTACGGGAAATTCCGTGCAGGGGAACTTTGACTCTGCCGGCAGGGCTCGCTACTTCCATTTCGTTTCATTTAGAGGAATCAACGTGGAATACCTTAGGCAGCCCCATCAGAATGTAAGCATTTCACCTGTTATTCCCGTTTTATGGGGGAAAAGGAGGCTAGAGGAAGGAAAATGCAGCAATGATCGCAAAACCAGCCTGTGTCCTCGCAGACCGCAGAGGGGCGGGCCTCGGGAAAGTAATTCCACACTCGCTCAGTGGGGATCCTCGCCTCCTCCACCACCAACTCCGCACACACAGACCCAGAAAGTGTGACCGTTACCCTCGGCCACAGCATCCCACGTGGTACTGAAGGGAGAGCCGCGGGGCGTACCTTTCGCGCTGGACGCTGCTTTGGGGGTCGCACTCGACTCAGCGCCTCTCTCGGCGCCTCCCACAGAGCAAGTCCGGGGCCGAGAGGCGTGCGGGTGCCCCGGCGGTATGACGGGTCCCTGAGAGCGGGGCACCGGAGGCTGCAGCACCGCGCGCCCGGGGTTCTCTGCCGCGCCGCGTGAGCCGGAAGGGCGCCCCGCCAGGACAGCGCAGGCTCCGCCCGGTCAGAGGAGCGGGGCGGGTCGTGGGGCGGGTCGGGGCCGGGTCGGGGCGGGTCGGGGCCGGGTCGGGGCGGGTCGGGGCTGGGCCGGGGCGGGGCGGGGCGGGGCGGGACCGGCGGCCGGAGCGGGCGCTCCGCACCTGCCGCCTGATGGGAACTGTAGTTCTGGGAGCAAGCCCGGCTCCCTTGGAGGCACCGGGAACTACATTTCCCGAGGAGGGACCGGCGCCTGCAGGCTGCGTGTTACCGGGGGGACGCAGGCCGCAGCCGGGGCGAGGACCAGAGGGCGTTTGGGGGCAGCCCGTAAAGGGGGCGCCTTTTCCTGCCCTGCTCTTGGTGATCAGGCGGTGCCATCTGTGTCTCCCGTGCCGCACTGCCCTGCGCCCCGCTGCCCGGCCCCCGTGGTAGTTTTTCCTGGTCCCCGCAGGGAGTTGGGGCCTCGAGGTTCCGACGGAGCGGCCGTTGCTCCGCGCTGGGGTCTGGATCGCGCTCCTCTCCGGCCCCGTGGCGGCCCGGCCCCTATGGGCCCGACCCGGAAGCCCAACGTGTGCCGCCGGCTGAGCCGCCGGGCGCTGGGCTTCTTCTCGAGCGACGCGGGCGCGGTGCAGAGGACGAACCTGGGCATCCTGCGGGCGCTGGTGTGCCAGGTGACCGCCTGCGGGCGGGGCGGGACCGAGGGCTGCGGGCGCCTGGTCCTCAAGCCTTCTGGGGTGCTCAAGCCTTCTGGGGTGCTGATTTTACGCGGTAGAGCCCCCTTTTAAGAAGGTTATTTGTGGTGGAGAGGGGCATGGATGCCCTGAACCTGGAGGATTAGTAAATAGGTATTAATAGGACCGCCAGATGCTTTTAATTTTTTAAGCTGCTTATGTCTTCTTTGCAAACAATCTTTTGAAAAGTTGGTCACCCCACTAAAACCAAAACATGACAGTGAGGCAGAGTGGCGAAGAATTGAACATAATGTTTTTAAATTACATACGTGAAACTTACTTGAAAACCCTAAATTTAGCTATCCATCATAAAATTGGTGCACAGTAGAGGTTTATGAGTTACTAGGAGCCCAATGCACGAAATACGTGAACGGGAGGGGGGAGGGGAGAATCCCTCAGCCTGGCCTGCACCTTTGCGATCGGGGACCCCTCACGCACTGCCGAATGGGGCCTATCCTGGCAGGGCATCCCTCTCGCAATCCCAGACCACTGGCTCCTAACCGCTGGCCTGCCTGCCTGCCTGATCGCCCCTAACCACTCTGCCTGCCTGCCTGAGCCCCTAACCACTCTGCCTGCCTGATGCCCCTAACCACTCTCCTGCCTGCCTGATGGTCCCTAACCGCTCACCTGCCTGCCTGCCTGATGGCCCTAACCATTCTGCCTGCCTGCCTGATTGCCCCTAACTGCTCACCTGCCTGCCTGATGGGCCCAAACCACCTTTGCCTCAGCCCCTGCTGCTGCAGCTTTGTCCCAAAGGACTTCTGGAATGACATCCAGGAGGTCTTCGGCTGTCTGCTCTAATTAGCATATTATGCTTTTATTATTATAGATTTCCTAAACCAAAATTCTTTGTGTCTTTCAGGAAAGTACAAAATTTAAGAATGTTTGGACTACTCATTCCAAGTCACCTATAGCCTATGAAAGAGGAAGAATATATTTTGATAATTATCGGTGCTGTGTCAGCAGGTATCTTTTGGGGGTAAATTTTTTGCTGTAATCCACCTCACTGTTGATCTTAGCCATTTTATAGAACCACATGCCTGCATCAGAACATAGTGAAATAGGAGAATGGAAAAATGTGTCCAAAACAGGTGGTAATATGGGTGTAATTTGAAAATCTTGTTAAATCTGAAGTTGCAGGTTCCATCTTTGTAATTACCATTTAAAGTGAAATTACTTTGTAGTGCAGGCAAAATGATAAATTGCTCTCAAAGTACTGTGTAGTATTTTATTCTGCTTAAAAGATATCAGAGTCAAGAGAGCCAGGTACCTAATAATTAGATGTTGCTTTAGAGGAGATTGTCTCTGTTTTGTTGTGGAAGTACTTGCCTCTTTGTTTTAGAGGAAATTTTCAAATTTGCTCAATTAGAGAATAGTATAGTACTCATTACCTAGATTCAAAAGCTATTAATGATTTTGCCACATTTGCTTTATCTCTTTGCTAAGAATTTTAAAGCATTTCTAAACATTGTGCTATATTAAGTTTGCTTCTCTAAAAACTATGGGCATTTTCTTAATTGCTTTATTAAAGTATAATTCACATACCATACAATTTACCCGGTTAAAATATGCAGTTCAATGATTTTTGGTTCATTGAAATTCATACTTAATGAATATGAACCCTCACTGCAGTTAATTTTAGAACATTTTCATTACCTCAAAAAGAAACTGTATACTTTGTAGCGATCACTCCAATGGCTCCATCACCCTCAGCTCTAAGTAACTGCTAGTCTGCTTTCTGTTTTTATAGATTCACCTATTTCCTATAAATTGAATCACATGTGTTCTTTTGGCTTCTTAGTAGAATCACATGGCTTCTTAGTAGATTACCAGTTTATTATCAAAGGAACAGCCAGATGGAAGAGATGCCTAGGACAAGGTATGTGGGAAGGGGCATGAAGCTTCCATGCTCCCTGCATCTCCACATGTTCACCAGCGCAGAAGCTCCTCGCCTTTTCTCATATATACAGGGGTGGGCAACAGTACACTTACAGTTATGAGTATGCGAAACAGTGTTTATTTGTATTATTTATTAATTATTGTATTATTTTCCGTACGAGCAACTGTAAACCTGCTTTTGCCCCCTCCCTGCACACATAATGCTGTATATTTCCCTCTAGGCATTGTTTGTGGTGTATCCACAAATGCCAATATTCTGTGCATTTGTTTTAATTTTGTTCAAAATATTTTAAAATTTCTCTTGAGATTTCTTCTTTTACTCATGTTAATTAGTAGTGTACTTAATGTTCAGATATTTGGGGATTTTCCTGCTGTATTTCTGTTACTGATTTTAAATTAATTCCCCTGTGGTCTGAGAGCATACTTTGTATCATTTTCTAGTCTTTTAAATTTGTGGAGATGTATTTTATGGCTCAGATTGTGTCTATCTTGGTGAATTTTTTCATGTGAGCTTGAGAAGAATGTGTTTTCTGCTGGTGTTGGGTAAAGTATTCTGTACATGTCAATTAGATACAGTTGATTGATGGTACTGTTCAGTTCAAGTATATTATTACTGACTTTCTGCCTGCTGGATTTGTTAGTTACTGACAGAGGTTGTATTGAAATGTCCAACTATAATAGTGGATTTGTTTGTTTCTCCTTTTGTCCTATCAGTTTTTGTCTCTCATATTTTGATACTCTGTTGTTAGATGATACATATTAAGGATTTTTCTGTCTTGGAAAAGTAACTGCTTTACCATTATATAATGCCAGTCTTTATTCCTAATAATTTTCGTTGTTGAAGTTTGCCTTGTCTGCAATTAATATAGCTACACAGCATGATGTATCTTTCTCTGTCCCTTTACTTTTACTCTATCTGTGTCTTTACATTCAAAGTAGGTTTTTTTGTAGCCAACATATATTTGGGTCTTGTTATTTTTAATCCACTCTGACAGCCTCTGTCTTTCAGTAGGTGCATTTAGACCATTTACATTTACAGGGATTATGGATACAGTTGGTTTAATACTTAACCATATTAGTAACTATTTTCTAGTCCTTGCCTTTGTTCCTTATTCCTTTTTTGTCTTTTATTATTTTTATGTTTCCTCTGGTTTTAATTGAGCATATTACTAGTATGTGATTCATTTTCCTTCCACTCAGCATATCAATTATACTTCTTTTTAAACATTTTTAGTGGTTGCCTTATAACTTGCAATATACATTACAACTAATCTAAATTTCTTTCATGTAACACTGTATCTCTTCATAGGTAATGCAGATACCTTATAATAGAGTATTTCTAATTCTTCCCTACTGCCTTTTATAATATTGCTGTCATCCAGTTTACTTGTCCAAAAGTTATAATCTATTATTGACAAGTTTTTATCTGTTATTAAGAATAAAAAGAATAAAGGATTTTGTTTTATCTTCATTTCTTTCTTCTCTAACACTTTTCCTTTCTCAATATAGGTCTGAGTTTCTAACCCATATCATTTTTCTTCTCTCTGAAGAAGTTATTTGAAAATTTCTTGTAAGGTCTGCTGGCAGCAAATTCCTCAATTTTTGTTTGTCTGAGAAATTCTTATTTCTCCTAGACTTTTGAAGGATAATTTCTTGGGATACAGAATTTTTGGTTGGTGGATTTTTTTCTTTTATTACTTAAAGTACTAGTATTTCACTCCATTCTCTACTTGCTTGCATGGTTTCTAAAAGAGAAATCTAATGTAATTCTTATCATAGGTAAGGCGCTCTTCCCCACCCCCACCCCACCCCCACCCCAGCTTCTTTTAAGACGTTCTCCTGTTTTTTATTTTCTACAGTTAGTATATGATATACCTAGGTATAGATTTTTGGGGTATTTATTATTCTTGTTGTTCTGTAAGCTTCCTGAATTTGTGGTTCTGTATCTAACATTAATTTTGCAAAATTCTCAGCCATTATTATTTCAAGTGTTTCTTCTGTTTTGTTTTCTCTTTGTTCTCCTGGCATAATGTACATTATGTGTACATTACATTTTTTCTAGTTGTCCCATAGTTATTGGATATTCTGTGCTGTGGGGTTTTTGTTTGTTTTGTTTTTCTTTTTTTCTAGTTTGGGAAGTTCTGCTTCTCTCTCTTTTCTTTCTCTCTCTAACTTTCTAGTTTGGGAAGTTTCTGTTGACATATCTTCAAGCTCAGTGAATCTTTCTTTGGCTGATGAGCCCACCCAAGACATTCTTCATTTGTGTTAGGGTGCTTTTGATTTCTGGCATTTCCTTTTGATTTTTTCTTAGGCTTTTCTTTTTAATCTCTGCTTAATTACTCATCTGTTCTTGCATGTTGTCCACTTCTTCCAGTAGAGCCTTTAGCATATTAATCATATTTATTTTAAGTTCCCAATCTAATTCCAAATTCTAAATTACCAATAAGTACTCAACCTAAATTTCAATATCTTTGCCATATCTGAGTCTGGTTCTGATACTTACTTGATCTCTTCAAACTTTGTATTTTGCATTTTAGTATGCCTTGTAATTTTTGTTGAAAGTTGTATTTGACATATCAGGTAAAAGGAATTGTGGCAAATAGGTCTTTAGAGTGAGGTTTTAGTGTCCTTGTTTTTTTCTCCCCAGTACTGACTCCAGCAGCTTGCTCCTGGGTTTTGCTCCCAGTAAGATGTGATTCTTGGTATCCATCTCTCTCTCCAGTGTTGGGAGCTGCAGTTTGCCCTGCAACCTCAATTGTTTGGTGGATACAAGAGTCGTTGATTTTCAGTGTGTTCATTTTCTTATGGTGAGGACAGGTGGGATGACTTCTAAGCTCTTTACATGTTGGACCAGACTAGAAGTTAGGATGTTTTAGGTAGTGTTTTAAATTTGTTCTGACTCAGGAGAGCTCCTCCCAGCAATCCTTCTGGTTCTCTATGGCAAGTTAGCCTGCTTGCAGTTTAGCCTGGATGGCCAGTGAACCTACCAATCTATTCCCATTTGCCTTTCATCACAATCTTCAGTGGCTTTTGAGAATGCGCTTAGGCTAGAACTTCTCCAGACTGTTGCAGACGGGCAGCTATCTGCTTCATGACTGTTTCTTCCCCGAGGCAAAATCTTTGAGTCAAGGCTCTGGTGCTGCTGGGAGTAGGGTGGGGTCAATGGAACCTTCACTCTGAGTGACTATACTCTACAGCTGAGCACTTGAGGTTGGTGAAGGCATTAGCCTCAGGTCTTCTTACTTTCTCCGTGTGGAACCAGGCTTTACCAGATGGGATAAGACAAATCTAGGCTCCAATGTTCTTCGACATGCCATGCGCAAGGTAGAACCTCTAACCGAAGGGTAGGCGCTAGGCAGAAGAAGGGATCCCCACCTCTTGACTTTACTCATTCAGGACTGAGTACCAGCAACAAGCAGCTGAGGCAGGAAATAAATGCTGCTCCTCAGGAAGGTAGCCCTCTGGGAGCTGGGGTAGAGGGAGCCCAGTGCTCTTGGCTCTGTCAGTCTGGAGTGGAGTGTTTGTCTTACTGAGCTGAGAATAACAGGGAGGGAGCACATCCCAGTTCAGTTACCACAAGCTCACTCTTCTTACTGACTTTAGTAGGTTTTCTTGACTAAATATTTCTTCATTTGCTGTATGCCCCCAGGACCATTTCCAGAGACTTTAAAATAGTTGTCCTTTTATAATTTCCACCAGTTTTCCTGGGGAGAACACCCACAGAGCTCCTCATGTTATCATGTTTCCAGTGGCAATCTGGACATTTTCTTGTATGATCATAATGTCATCAGACATATCAAAATGAGCAGTAATTCTTCAGTTTCATTTAATGCCTTTTTAAAAAGTAACTTTCCCAATTTAGAGGTATCTGTTTTAATTTTTAAAGAAAATCAGTGAAGCCAGCCGGTGTGGCTCAGTGGTTGAGCATTGGCCTATGAACTAGGAAGGTCACAGTTCGATTCCCAGTCAGGGCACATGCCCAGGTTGCAGGCTCCGTCCCCAGTGTGGGGCGTGCAGGAGGCAGCCGATCAGTGGTTCTCTCTCATCATTGATATTTCTATCTCTCTCTCCCTCTGCCTTCCTCTCTGAAATCAATAAAAGTATATTAAAAAAAAAAAGAAAATCAGTGGAAATGGCACTGTTGGTGAATAGTATTGAAGTTCTTTAGTACGGCATTCAGGAGTGTTTTCCCCATAGGTTAGGATCAAATATGAGGTTGCCTTCATTTCTGTGAAATTCTCTTTTTGTTAATATTCACCCAAGGATATATATTTTGCCCACATTGATTTTTAGAGGGACAATGGAAGGAAGGAATAGAGACAGAGAGAAATGTTGATGTGAGAGAGACACATGGATTGGTTGCCTCCCACACGTGCCCCCACCTGGGGCTAGGGACTGAACCTGCAACCAAGGTATGAGCCCTTGACCGGAATCGAACCCTGGACCCTTCAGTCTGCGGGCTGACACTCTAACCACTGAGCCAACCCAGCTAGGGCAAATTCTCTTTGATTTGGGAAAACATTAAAGGTGAATAAAATTGTTACCCTCAAAATTGTGTCTAAATAGTAGTTTAATTTTAAAGTTCATCAGTTAAAAAAATGAAAACATCTACGAGCACATTTCAGTAGTAATCAGAAGTATAAATAAAAAGCGAGAGACTATTTTTTACATTAAAAAATGTAGTGTTTAATATTGGCAGAAGTATAAAGTTATCCAACCTTTCTGAAAGGCGTTTTGGGAATAAACAAACCTTAAAGGGTATTTCCTTTTTTAATCCACTAATTTTCATTCTAAAATAATTGGACTCTTTATCTAATTAATTTTCATTAAAAAATATTAGAGAAACAAATATGAACATAGAATTCAACCAAGATATTCATAGTAAATGTTCATGATTCTATTTTGGGAAATAACCTGCAGATAGGTAAATGTATGTAAAGAAAAAGTAGACGGAAATGAACCAAAATGTTACTATTGGTTATTTTTTATATTTTTACAGTATAAATCTATTTAAATTTTATTATTTTTTAAAGATTTTTTTCTATGACTATGTATTATGAATTTTATAATCAGAAAAAATATCCTATCTAATAAAAGAGAAACATGGTAATTGGCGTACGACCGCTACCCTTCCCATTGGCTAATCAGCGAGATATGCAAATTAACTGCAAGCCAAGATGGTGGCCGGCAGCCAGGCAGCTTGAAACTAACATGAGGCTTGCTTGCTTCAGTGATGGAGGACTCCAACGTTCCCCGCCTGCCTTGCCGGCCTCTGAGCTGACAGTTTCAAACATTGTAACAAATATAGAAGATAAACAAAACCCCAGAAACCAGCTTTCAGCCGCTGGGATCTCAGAGCAGGAGTTGATAACAGAGTTTCGATTATAGAACCGAAACAAACCAGATACCTGCTTTCAGGAGCGGAGGCCTAAGAGCTGGAGCCTCAGAGCTAAAGCTGGCCCAGAATTAAAAAAAAAAGAAAAAAGAAGCAGTTGGGAGCTTCAGTCCCAGCCTGAAAACAGCCCTCAGCCCCTCACCCAGACTGGCCAGGCACCCCAGTGGGGACCCCCACCCTGAAGGGTGTTTGACCAGCTGCAAACAGCCATCATCCCCTCATCCAGACTGGCCAGGCACCCCAGTGGGGACCCCCACCCTGATCCAGGACACCCTTCAGGGCAAACCAGCTGGCCCCCACCCATGCACCAGGCCTCTAACCTATATAGAAAAAGGGTAATATGCCTCCCAGCACCGGGATCAGCGGAGCCACGAGGCCTCCCGGCACCGGGATCAGCGTGACAGGGGGCAGCGCCCAAACCCCCTGATTGCCCGGCGGCTCTGTGTGTGAGAGGGTGCGGGGCCCCAACCTCCCTATCCGCCCTGCTCTGTGTGTGACAGGGTGCGGCGCCCCAAACCCTTGCTCGGCCCTGCTCTGTGCATGACAGGGGGGAGCTCCCCAAACCCCTGATTGACCCTGCTCTGTGCGTGACAGGGTATGGAGCCCCAACCGCCCTGATGGGCCCTGCTCTGTGCGTGACAGGGGGCAGCGCCCCAACCCCCTGATTGACCCTGCTCTGTGTGTGACAGGGTACGGAGCCCCAACCCCCCTGATGGGCCCTGCTCTGTGCATGACAGGGGTGGTGCCGCAACCTCACCATTGACCCTGCCTTGAGTGTGACAGGGGGCGGTGCCCCAACCCCCCAATCAACCCTACCCTGAGCATAACTGAGGGTGGCATCGAAATCTCCCGATCTGCCCTGCTCTGTGCATGACAGGGGAAGGTGCCCCAACTCCCCAATCGACCCTGCTCTGAGCCCGATCAGGGGCTGCACCTAGGGATTGGACCTGCCCTCTGCCACCTGGGAGCAGGCCTAAGCCAGCAGGTCGTTATCTCCCGCGGGGTCCCAGACTGTGAGAGGGCACAGGCCGGGCTGAGGGACCCCCCTTCCCCCCCGAAGTGAACAAATTTTTGTGCACTGGGCCTCTAGTTAACATATAATTAAGAAGAGGAAAGCAAACTAGTAAGTTGCATTTTGGTAGTCTAAATCTCTGAATAGAAAAAAAAAATTACTCATACCTGAGTAAACACTGTCTCAGTTACTAAGATGAGTTATCATTAATCATTTATTTTTCTTTTTTCCCAGTGTTGCATCAGAGCCAAGAAAACTTTATGAAATGCCAAAATGCTCCAAATCAGAAAAAATAGAGGATGCTTTATTATGGGAATGCCCAGTGGTAAGATTTGTTTTTAGGCATTTGTTTTTAAAGCAATTTTAGCCTAGAACTGGTTATTATTAATATATTATACAAGGGAATAAAACTTAAATATTATAGTGATTCCTGAATCTTGAAAGGAATTAAGAGAACTTATCTTTTGATTATTATTTTTCCTCATGAAATAATATTAAAAATATATTTTTTAAATTTGATACTATTTGTAAATCTTGAAAATTAAAAAAAATTATGACCTCATTAAAAGTTCCATAAGAAATAAAAACTAGTTTGTGGTTATTCTTAGTGTTTAAGAAATCATTTTACTTACTATACTGAAACCAAATATTTTGTTACAGGTTATGTTACATGGTATGGGTAATAGTTACGTTACATGACTGTTTGAAAGGGGGTTCTTATGAGTTTCCTCCAGGAATCTTGTTAGGAAAATCATAAGATAAAAATAAAAAACAATGAGGCCCTGGCTAAGTAGTTCAGTTGGTTAGAGCATCATTCCAATACACCAAGGTTGAGGTTTCGATCCTGGGTCAGAGCATATACAAGAATAAACCAATGAATGCATAAGTAAGTTGAACAACAAATTGGTATTTCTCTATCTCTCCCTTCCTCTCTTGCTCTAAAATCAATAATAATAATAATCCTATATAATAAAAGGCTAATATGCAAATTGTTTCCTCCACTGGGAGTTGGACCAGGGGGCGGGGCTGGCTGGCCATCTGCCCAAGGCCTCCCCCCCAACCCCCCTCCAGCTGGCCCCGCCCCCAATCAGTCCCCCCACCCCAATTGGGGGCGGGGCAGCCTGCCAACCTCTCATGTCCCTGCCCCCTGGCCAGCCCTGATGCCGATTGGCCAACTGCCTGCAACCTCTCCCCCGTAACCCCCAGCAAGCCCCACCCCCAATCACCCCCACACACGCACTCTGATTGGTGTGGTCCAGCAGGACCCCACCAGTGCATGAATTCTTGCACCGGGCCTCTAGTAATAATAGAAGCTTATTCCATTAGACCAGCATTGCCCTAGTGTGTATTTTTCAAAATACTATTTTCATTAGATGTTAATATCTTATAGTTGCTAAAGGAGTTTGGAGGAATGGGTTGTAGACAAGTTTGGGGTATTCTGAGTTTAAAAGGTTAAACAAATTTATAGAATTACTTCTCAGAGCCTTTACTAGTAATAATACTTATAATAGTACTAATGTACATAGTGACTATCAAGCTATTTTTCCAAACTCTTGATCATAAAACTTCTTTTTTTAGGTATATTTCTTTTTTTTTTCTTTTTGTTAATCCTCACCTGAGAATATTTTTCCATTAATTTTTAGGGAGAGTGGGAGAGAGAGGGAAAGACAGAGAAATATGGATGTGAGAGAAACACATTGATTGGTTGCCTCCTGCATGCACCCCGACCAGGCCTAGGCTGGGAGGAGCTTGCAATCGAGGTATGTGCCCTTGAGTGGAATTGAACCTGGGACCCTTCAGTCCACAGGCTGACGCTCTATCCACTGAGCCAAACCGGTTAGGGCCCATTAAAATTACTTAAAAAACAAAACAATACACTGTTTTTACATAGAATTGTAGTTTTCTGTAGCTACAGCTTTCTTTTTTCCTGGACACGTTTTTTCTGTTCCCAGAAGGCTCCATTTTAAAAATCAGAAAGCTTTAAATCTATGTTTTCTTCCCCAACTCCCTATTGAAACCTAAAAATAACTGCTGTGCCCCAACATAGAAAGCCTTTTGCATCCATTTTCATTGGTGCAGGGAGGATGAGGACAAATTTCTTAATTGAGAAAAGTTTTGAAGACACTAGTACAAAGCACCTAAAAATTTAGAGCAGTCCTGTAAAAATAGAGTTTCAGGTAACTTAATTCCTAGTGTCACTTCTTGTTAAACATTTTGTTCTCATTTGAAGTGAAGATTTTCCATTAAGAAAAATTAAGAAACATATTGCATTGTTTTTAACATACTGATTCGAAACTATATTTAAATTAGCACCATTCTTTTCTGAGACGATGTGTGGAATATAACTTTTGGTTTAGGAAAATAGCTCAAACCTATTATATATACTCCTTCATATTCTTTTGTTTTTTTAATAGGCAAGGTATAAATACTACATTTTTAAAAAAATATATTTTATTGATTTTTTACAGCGAAGAAGGGAGAGGGATAGAGAGTTAGAAACATCGATGAGAGAGAAACATTGATCAGCTGCCTTCTGCACGCCCCCCAGTGGGGATGTGCCCGCAACCAAGGTACATGCCCTTGACGGGAATCGAACCTGGGACCCTTGAGTTCGCAGGCCGATGCTCTATCCACTGAGCCAAACCGGTTTGGCTAAATACTACATTTTTAAAAACTTTAAAATCTCCATTAGATGATACTTCTATAACACACCATATAATAAAAAATTGATTTTAAAAGTATCTCTTATTTCTTTTTCTAACATTTGAAAGGGAAGACAAACTTTTGAGAGCATGCATAAAATAACTACGCCGTCATTTTTTTCTGTTCACTTACTGCCTAAGCAAATACTAGATTAATTTTAACTTCCTTATTTGTAACTCTCCTCTTAGAACTTCCTTTTTATTCCACAAATCAAATAGAACCTTTTGCTTTCTTTGTCTTCCTGTCTTAGACTTCCACCTGGTGGTAGCTCTGCAGCGGCAGGTGCACCAGGCAGCTATCCTCTTCCTTTCGGGGGTGTAATTCCTTGGTGACATAGGTTATCTTTAAACCAGGTCCGTCTTCTGTTCTCATTGGGCTGCCTTGATTCTGGATTATAACTTTCCATCCTGAGCTAGAATGGAGCCACAGTGAATAATGGGATAATTTGCCCTTTTGACTTCTGTCAAAAGGAAAACAAGTCTTAGAAATATCTATTCTAATGATGACTCTTAATTGCTATGCTATTGTACATGGTCTTAAGAACTTGTCCTTATCACAGCAGCAGCATTAGTAATACTCCTACTACTATTGTAATGATTGGTGAACATTTGTTGAATACTTAATGATAAATAATAACACGTCATACGTTATTTCACATACTGTTTTAGTGCTTATATGAATAGACTCACTTAATAAGTTAATGATGAAAATAAGTACCCACAGACTGTATTCCTGAAACCTATGTAATTTTATTAACCAATGTCACCCCAATAAATGTGATTTTTAAGAAAACCCCACAAAAAAATAAAAAAAGAAAAGGAAACAATTACCCACAACCATATTTTTCCTTGTCTTAATTCTTTATTTGTGTATTTGAGCATTTACTATTATTTCTTTGATATACTTATTTGACTATTTCTTTAGTGCTTAGCTATTTCCTTTGGGCATTGAGTACTGCAGATTGTTCATGGCCAAGTAGTTTTACTTTTCCATCTCATTTTTTTAGGGGGAAATGCTGCCCAATCCATCAGATTATAAATCCTCACTCATAGCACTGACAGCCCATAACTGGCTACTTCGTATATCAGCAAGTACGGGAAGAGTCCTTGAGAAAATATATCTTGCTTCGTATTGCAAATTCAGGTATTATTTGTGACTTTATTATTCAAGATTTTATTATAAAAATTTGAGACTTGTGGCCCAGGAAACTGAAAGCAAGTTTTGTGTGTGTTGCACGCACACGTGTGTGTGTTTTAGTTTTCCATTGCATATCTGGATCTCAATTTATAAATCTATTCTTTTTTTCTCTCCTCATGACTAAATTTGAAGTTCTGAGGATAAAGACCCTTTATAATGTTTTTTTGTATCCTTATCAGTAGCTAACCTGTAGTAGTTGGCAGTTAAACTTTTAAAAAGTCTTGTTTTCCATCTATAATAATAAAAGCATAATATGCTAATTAGACCAGACGACCTTCCTGATGACCTTCTGTAGGAAGCCGGTGCTGCTGCAAGGGCCGAGCCCCTTGCACAAGTTTCATGCAACGGGCCTCTAGTCTACAAATAGTATTCTATATGTAAGATGCACTTTATGGTAGATTTTCCTGAAGGCTAGTCTGTTTCAGTTAAATTACCCATCTAGTACAATCTAAGAACTATTGTTTTAACAACTAGTTTTATAAACTAGATGTAAATTTTGAAGTATGTGCATTCAAAACGTGAAAGTAATATTTTTTATACTTTATATAAAATGGTTATTTGTTTTCTAAGTTTGAATACTGTTAGATCAAACAATTTTTATCAAAACTCAGAAGGATTAAAGTTATATATTTTATAAAAATATTTTCATATAAGGATTGGGAGGGAATTCTTTTAGCTATTTATTTGTTTTTAAAATAAATTGCTTTGCTTTTATAATTTAAATAATTAAAAAACTTGACATATGACTGGCTGGTGTGGATCAGTGGGTCAACCCATGAACCAAGAGGTCACCAGTTCGGTTCCCAGTCAGGGCACATGCCTGGGTTGCAGGCTTAATCCCCAGTAAGGGGGGCGGGGAGTGCAGGAGGCAGCTGATCGATGATGTTTCTCTCATTGATATTTCTCTCTATATATCCCACTCCCTTCCTCTCTTTCTAAAAATCAATGAAAACAGCCCAGACAGCATGGCTCAGTGGTTGAACGTCGACTTATGAATCAGGGGGTCACGGTTCGATTCCCTGTCAGGGCACATGCTCAGGTTGCAGGCTTGATCCCCAGTGTGGGGTGTGCAGGAGGCAGCCGATCAATGATTCTCTCTCATCATTGATGTTTCTCTCTCTCTCTCTCTCTCTCTCTCTCTCTCTCTCTCTCTCTCTCTCCCTTTCTCTTCCTCTCTAAATATATTTTAAAAAATAAAAATCAATAAAACATTTTTTAAAAATTTGACATAAAATATATATTATATTTTGATTTAAGTATAAGGAAGCCTCCTCCCACCCCCAAATGAATAAACTTTGCTTCATTCTTTTAAAAGATACTTGAGCTGGGACACTCCTCAAGAAGTCATTGCAGTCAAGTCAGCTCAGAACAAAGGCTCAGCATTGACCCGGCAGGTAGACATCTTTAAACATTCCATAAAGTGAAGAATTTTTTTTTCCCATAGGGATTTGTCTGCTGATTTGTCATAAAAGAACTAATGATCTTTGTTTTCTGAACCATGCTATACAAGTTGTTTACCACAAATTTCAGAAATTCCCTTTAAACCACTGTGGGCTAGTACAGACTATTTTACATTCCATGGTAGAAAGAAATTGACTGGATCTTGTTCTTCAAAGTAAGGAAGCCATCCTCTTCAAGCAGAGAAATCACTCAAGCTTTTATTGTCGATACTCTTTTCTCATTTCATTACGGTAGATATGTCAGAGTAACACTGCTTTTAAATGCTATAACCATGATAACCATGTGTCTTTCAATTAGGCTCTTTATTGTTTGAATTCCAATTTACAATATTAATTGTTAATATTACATTAAAATATAATGTATTAATTTATGTTATATTAACATAAACATAATTTATACTATAATATAGGGATATATTATACAATATGTAATATGCATTTTGTTTTACAGTATATAAAATGTTTTTGTATAGAATATAAACTATATTTTGTTGCTAAGAAATGTTTAATTTTATATTTACTTTTATAAGTTTTGTGTATATGTGCATATGTGTGACTGAAGGGTGAACATTTTAATGGACATATTTTGAACATGTGTGAATCTCTGTTTAAATAACTCTAATGTAGACAGATGGGTGTTTTCCATTCGTGAAACCATCTATAACTGCATGCTAGGACAGTTGGATGTTCTCAGCTCAGGAAACAGTGCTTCTGAAATACCCTTGAGAGCTGCCTGTAATTTCAGTCTTTCTTTTAGGCAGGCCTTCCACAGCCTGTTTTGCTGTACCTTGCAGTGTTCCATGTTCTACCTTTTTCACTCATAGGGATTCTGGAGATCAACAAAAAGGTAAGCGCTCATTTCTGATTTAATTATTTGTTTAGTAGGTGTGATTAGAAATGTTCCCCTGACTGTAAAAAGCTTGCTGACCTCGTTTATTTTATTTCAAAATATATGAGAACATTTAACATGGGAAGAGAGCCTAATCGTTCCTTCATCTTTCTGTTGAATAGTGGTCATTAAGAAACCACTATTTTATAAAATTATGAAATGAGTAAGGTATTTTTCCAGAGGACTATTCCCAAGTTTGTTAAAATTATCATTAAATAAAGGTGAAAACCTGTAACAAAAAGCCTCATTTTAATTGCAAACTATAGATCTAAAACTTATGATATATAAACAAGTCTTATAATTAAATATGTGCATTTCCAACTCATTAAGTTTTATGTTTTATTGTTATTGCCATTCTTATTGGTTTGTGGGTGGTTATATGGGAGGAAAGAAGGACAAATTTCCTTTGAGTAAAAGAATCAATAGCCTCCCACTTTCTTTTAAAAAATTGTTACTTATTCTAAGTGAATAGTTATTTGTTGGTCTATTCTACTAGTCTTTTTGTTGTTGTTAATCCTCACCCGAGGATATTTTTTTCCATTGATTATTAGAGAGAGTGGAAGGGAAAGGGAGAGACAGAGAGAGAGAATCACTGATGTGAGAGAGACACATCCATTGGTTGCCTCCTGTGCTCCAACCAGGGCCGGGGATTGAACCTGCAAGCGAGGTACATGCCCTTGACTGGAACTGAACCCAGGACCCTTCAGTCCACAGGCCGATGCTCTAGCTACTGAGCCAAACCAGCTAGGGCCTTTTCTACTAGTCTCTAATTAAGCACCTAAAGTATTATAGAGAACAGATCTTGACAGTCCACTAGTATTCATTAGCAAACAAGATGAATGTATTTTTTACAAGTTTATATTATATAAGTATAATATACTAAATTGCATAAAGGCTGAAGAATAATAGTTATTTATTAATTGTTTTGTATCAGGCACTTTGAGCATTTTATGACATTATAACATAATGTATTCAAGTAGAAAGTTAAACAGGCAATAAATGGAGGAACTGGAATTTTAAACTAAATTTGACTCCAAATTACAAACCAAATTTTAAGGTAGAGTGGCTATTTTATTATAGCACTCAATAACTGAAACTATGTTTGTATTACGCAAACATAGTGGGGACCCAGGGTCAGTGAAAAAAAAGTCATGAGCTAGTCAAGATCAAAGCAAACTATAATTTACCTTCTAAGAGATAACCAAAACACACAACTCATGAACATAATTGTCCTCCTTGTGCTTGTAGATTAATTGTCTATTCTAATTACAGCCTACAGCAGGAATGAACACGTAATGAAGTCATAAATTGTTTCTATTTATTCTCATTTGGCTAAGATTATCATTTGAGGAATATGGTTTCAATATGCTGACTTGGAATTGAAGTATATCTTTCACTTATCATGCATGATCAGGCTACCCAGGGTCCAGACTGGAATGTACTTTAAGCTATTTATTGGGGTAGTAAATCTTTACTAAGTAACTTGTCTTGAGTAGAAATAGAAACCCATTTTCACTTAATTTCTATTCTTTTATTGCTCTAAATATTTGTCTATGTTGGCTTTTGTTAAATATTAAAATAAGCATAGGATCAAGTTCTTCATCAGAACTTCTATGGAGAATCATGACCAAGTCCACTGCACAGAAACAGAAAGGGAGCAATGAACCAAAGTCTTACTTGAATTATTAGATTAATAATAATTAATTAATAGGTGGTTAGTCTTTAACTTGTTTGGTTTTTACATGACTAAAAAATTAAACACTATCAAAGATTTAAAGAACAAGGTAATGATAAAGATCTGGAGCTGGCTGTTTCTTATTAGAATTACTTTTTAGATCCAATCTCTCTCCCTCCAATTAAGTCTCTTTATAAATAACATTTATAAAAAAATTAAGTCTCTTTATAAATAACATTTTAGCACAAAGAACAGGTCCCTGGCAGGCTATGCATGGTAGAGTAAATATTTATTTAGAATTAGATGGATTCATGTAAAGCCATATCCATGAGGAATACAATTTGTCATTAAAAGATATTGACAAAACTGAAGCAAATGGATAAAGCAGATGAATGCTACTGCATCTCCCATTAGTGCTTCAGTGTGAGATTCCAGTGGCTTACCACTCACCCTACTAACACCTTAATTTCAAGTTTCTAAGTTATAATTATCTTATGATATGAGGCAGCAGTATTGTAGTGGTAGCCTGAATATTAAGCAAATGCATAAACCACTGTGAACACTCAGAGGATTGGCCTTCTGGTCTTTTCTCAGGTGATATCTACCTTTCCCCTCAGATTTTCGGGAACGTTACAGATGCTACCTTATCTCATGGAATACTGATTGTGATGTACGGCTCAGGACTGGTCAGACTCTATAGCTTCCAAGCCATCACTGAACAGGTAGAGAAAACTGGAATTTGCCTATTATAATTAACTTGAGGTTTGGACTGAAGAATGGTGTTTTTAATGAGATGCTTTTAAAGTAAGACACTTGTGTAAATTTCTACTCTACAAAAATTCAGGAAATGCAGAAAGACAAAATAACCTTTAATAGAGGGGTGGGAAGATAAACATAAAAGCCCTGAATAAATAAAGACATTTTCTGTCATATACATGTGAATTTGAATTTTTCTCTCTCCAGACAGCAATAAGTAGGTGCTAAAGACACCATTTTTGTTTTGTTTTGTTTTTAGTTCATGCAACAGAAACTTGACTTAGGGTGTGCATGCAGATGGGGTGGGACTGCTGGAACTGTGGGAGAGGCTCCTTTTGGCATTCCTTGTAATATTAAACTCACAGGTATGGCTACTATATAGTATTTTTTCACCTTTAAAAATAAGTAGTCGTGTAAATTATTAATTGTAATCACCCGAATGTTTTTCGTATAATTTAATTACAAACTCAACTCATTTTACTCTTATACAGCATGCTCCTTGCTATTGAATACATGTCAAGAAAAATCTATCATTCATTCATTGAACTGAAGGCTTGGAGATGCTGAGCCTTGCTTGGCCAGAGATCAATGACCTTTGGCAAGTCACTTAACCTCTCTAGTCTGGATTTCCTTATCTGCAAAATGATGAGTTGCAGCAAATGTTACTATCTTTGCCCCCACTTTACTTACTATTTTGCAATTCTACAATTTTATCTACTTCTAAGAAAGGTATTTTCCAAGGAAAATATAATTGCCATTCTATCTGAATATAGAGCTTAGACACAGAGAGAACCCCCTAGTATACTTAATGGTTGAGAAAGCACAAAAAATAAAATTATATTAAATTCTATAAATATAATAAAAATGTTCTCTATTTAACCAGCTTATCAAATTCAGCAGTTTAATAAAAAAGAAATTAACTATTACTCAGATTCAGCAGTGTATGTTAAAAGAAATAAACCATGACTGACCAGAGTTCATCTTGGGAATACAAGGATGTGATTTAATATTTGGAAAGAGATATTAAAATCACATGAGTAAACTTAAAAATTATATATATATATATATTGATTTCAGAGAGGAAGGGAAAGGGAGAGAAAGACAGAAACATCAATGGTGAGAGAGAATCATTGATCGGCTGTCTCCTGCACGTCCCACACTGGGGATTGAACCTGCTACCCAGACATGTGCCGTGACCGGGAATCAAACCCTAACCTCTTGGTTCATAGGTTGATGCTTAACCACTGAGCCACAGCGGCCAGGCAAAGCAATTTATTTTTACTACAGAATAAATAGAAAATGAAATTAAATGAAATAGAGAAAAATTAAACACTGATAGTTCTCCCGTATGGCGATAACTGTCACCTATGTATAGTAGTTAATTGTGCTTATGAAGAGGCCTAATAAAGCACACATTTCTATAATAACATGATAAGCCTCTTTACTGACAGTGGTGGCCTCATAAACCAAAGATTAAACTCTCAAGTAAAAGGCTAAACAAAGGAATCATAGATGAGCCACTTGTTCAAACAGACCATGTGGTGCTTCACAGGCTGCCCAAAAGGAATTCTGATCTCCTAAAGATGCCGTGCCTTCCGCTTATGTATTTCTGTAAGAGTAAATCCGTTACCTCTACCTAAAATTAATTGTCATCGAAGACGACTGAGAAACACCAACAGATATGGGCATCCCTGAGAGATACTGTGAGTTCAGTTCTAGACCATTCACAATAAAGCAAGCACAGGCATACCTCAGAGATATTGTGAGTTCAGTTGCAGACCACCATATCAAAGCAAGTATCACAATAAAGTGAGTCAGAATCTTTTGCTGGTGGAGGTTCTTGCCTTCAGTTTATAAAAAAATGCAGCACCTATGAAGCACCATAAAGGAACACGCAATAAAACGAGGTATGCTTTTATTTCTCATATGATGTCAATCTCCAAAAGCCAGTGACTGACTAGATGTACCTAAACTCCCTTAAAGTTAACTTGTCTAATAATAATATAGTAGTACTGGCTACCCTTTAATAAAGCTTCCATTGTGACGGGGCCTATCCTAACTGCTTACATTCACTGTGACTAATATCACTTCCACACTGGAAATCCTAAGCAGGACTTCTCTTGTAAAGTTTGGTCAGTTTAACCTGTTAGTCTAGATTATGGAAGATGTCTTCTGCACAGTGAAGGAATTATTAGACCGAATCATCTTGCAGGATTGTTGTGAGAGTTGGACATAGTATCTAACCCAGTCTCGTACACGACAGATGCGTCGTAGTAAATGACAGCTGCTTTTATTGGCTGTACTTTGTCATTTTTCCCTCATAAGCACCTTCAGCCCACTTTTATCTCCACTCAACTACAGGTCACACTTACCCCGAAAACAGATGTCTAGAAGGTTGACTCATAGCCTAACATTTGTTTTCTACCAGCTTTCTCTTTTCTTAGCAATAAGCCTGTTTCCTGATTGTTTTTTATTTTCTTGAACACAGTGATTTTTCATTAATGGAAACTCATAGATGATGCATGCAAAGGAAGGTTGAACTCAGTTAATGAATGTTCCAAAGCTACCAGAACCGAGAAAGCTAATAAATTCCTTTTGCCCATGTCTACAGACACGCCACCACTGCTCTTTGAGGTGTCCTCCCTGGAGAATGCCTTTCAGATTGGAGGCCACCCTTGGCACTACATCATCACACCTAATAAGAAGAAACAGAAGGGAGTTTTCCATATTTGTGCCCTTAAAGACAACTCCTTGGTAAATCATGAGTGATCAGACCTTTTAGTAGTAAATTCGTATCAGAAATTCTTTTTTCTCTGCTTCTCTAATAAGTTCACGTTCCTGAGTTACTTTTTGTTTGTATTAATTTGTGAATAATGTGTAGTACTAAGGATTACAAAGAATACAGCAAAAGCTTGTGTGTCCTACCTGGAATTTAAAAACATTATCATTTAAAAATTTTAGGGTACCAGAGATTACTTAGGTGTTTTTTCTTACCAGTCTCCCAGCAGGAGAACCCATGCAAATCATCTCTGAAAGCTTCATGGTGGGAATCAATGAAATATGTTCAGGCTGCCTCTGAAATTGCTGGTGGAATGTGTTGTTGGTTTTGCTTTTTCATGGTTTGTTGCTTTCCAGAACAGAACCATGTAAAATTCTAGTGTTCACAATGTAAGCCATGAAACACTTTGACCTTTCAAGGCTACTCTTAAATTATTTATGGCAAAATAGGAAGAAATGGTACATGGTAAGACAAAAGAAATTTCTATCCATTAAATCTATTTTTCTTCATTTAAAAAGTGATTTTAGGCATTGATTTATCAATTAATAAATATCATTGAGGGCCAACTGTGTGCCAGATATGGCTGGGACACATTTCCTTCCCTCAAGTTGCTTACACTCTCAAAAAAACACACAAATGTGTAGATAAATGAGATGCTGTCTGTTAAGTACAGTGATTGAGGTAAGTGCAAAAGAATGAGTGTACATTCCATATTTGTTTTGCATTTCTGGTTTAGTTTTGTTTATTTCTGGAGCCTCTTGATAAATCAAATGAACTTTTCTGAGGCAGACTCAGCTTATTCCACCCATGTCTTTCAGGATCTTGCTCAGTTGCTGTTGGACCCAGAACCTTTTAGAGTACAGGTCACCTTTACCATGCTGAAGACCAGCACAGTCTTGGGTTCATTTATCTATTTCCCTTGTTGTTGTGGCCAGCAGGGAACACTGTGTACAGGGTCTTCTGGTTTTCTTTTTGCAGGATTATGGTTCCCTCTGTTTTTCATTTACCTACCTCATATAACAGCTCCTGTTTGGCCCCGCCCAGCGATATCCTCTCTTGCGATGCACTCTTGAGGGGCTGTTTCCTGCCATGACAAGTCTGGTTTGATTGTTCACCTCCCAAGCAGAGGACATCCTTCAGCTGACAGGACATCGCGTATCTCTTTTTTACTTAACTTTTTCTTCCAGCCCAACCTTACACAGTTCACACTGTAGATATTTAGTACATACTCTTCTTACATAAGAACTGATAATACATATTCTTTCGTGTGTGTAAAATGGCTTTCAATATCCATATTAAGCATATCTGGCATGGGCTCTCCTTCTGTAATAATTGATTAAGATTATATATTAAAATACAGATTTTAGTCAAATCTGTATTTTAATATATTCATAAATAATTGCCAAATCCAGGAGAAGTTTCAATCCTTTTGCTAGACAGCTTTATTGCAGTGACATAATGATGCATATGCCCATTACCTTCCACCTGTCAGTCGGAAGAGTAGATAATCCCAAAGCACATATGCCTCCAAACTGAAGAATTCAGTACATGTGTCAGAGCCTTCTGTTAAACTGTGCTTTAAAAATCTAGCATTTGAAACAAATAAATAACTAAATGAAATCTAGCATTTGAACAAATAAACACTACAAAGTTTGTAATACTGCATAGTGCTTAATACAGAGGGATGATGTTTCTTTTGTGTGTTATAGATATTATAATAAAGAGAATAATCTCCTAAAGAAAGATATGTATAGTATGTACATATTTTATATTGAAGGAGCATCTGGCGCTAATGCCATCATAGACACATTAATTTCAGTGGTTGCATCCAAGATGCTTAATTGCATTGATATTCGTATAAAATGTAATAATATCATCATTCCTATGAGGATATTTATTAAATTCTGGAAAATTAAAACTCATTCTCTAACTTGATACATAAAATGTGTTAAATTCAAATTTTTAGAAAAGCATGGCATGTAAAGCACTTGTGACATAGCCCCAGCCTCCTGCTCCTGTCTCATGGCTGGACACTGTTTCCTTAATTTAATTTTGGTTCTCGTGTTCATGCACATACACGCTAGGTAGGTGAATACTTCGGTGCTTTTGAATTTGCTCTCTTCTTGCTAGTCATTTTTTGCTCATCCTGGGAGTCTCAGCTTAAGCTTTTTTTCTTCCTGAAATTCTGCTCACCTGGGTTGAATGCTTGAGCACTTTGTTTTTTTACGCTGCCTTATAATTCTCTGCCTCCCCTCTTGATTATGGGCTTCTTGATGGCAAGGATTACTGCATGTTCACGTCATGTCAAGTACAAACGCCTAGTGTGACACCTAAAACATAGCATGCTGTCAATATATGCTACTGGAATAAATTCACTAATATTTCACAAACTTTCATGAGTGTCAAATAGGAAAGATGGTATTATTTTATTTTAAATTGGAGAAATTAAAGAATTTAAGTGACTTAGATAAAGCTAGTGAAGTTAATGTACTAGTATTCATGCTGATAATGGTTCCCAGTGCTCCTGTGTATAAAGCAAAACACATATATGTGCATATGTGATAACATATCATGGAGGTGATTTTAATGTCTAAATAGATTGCTGTGAAATAAATGTCTCCACGGTCTTAAAGGCTAAGCAGTATTAGACCATTTCCTCAGCATTGAAGTTTAATATCTGGCTTATCCAAGGAGATCATATGACCTGAGATTTTAGGTTTGGTTACGTGTTTATTTTCATGTATCCACTCTTCTGAGTGACGGTTTGTTAGGGAGGGGGAAGGGAGGGGACCGCATGAGCATAATTATGGCAAGGTTATAGGATGGAAAGTCCATGGACTTTGGAGTCAAATCTGCTGTTTAGTAGATGCTAAACATTGAGAAAATGATTTATACTCTTTGTTTTCTCACCCATAAAGTGGAGATAACAAAATATGCTTTGAATGTTGTAAGATCAAATGAAATAAGGAATATAAAGCATCTAATGCTGACACAAATTGGGTGTGCCTGAGATATGGTAACTAAGAGATTTTTTATGAGGTATAATATTTGGTACAGGGTAAATCTATGAGATTCCTGAATATAAATGTTTTAGATTTCTCAAGTTTGAGTGTCCTAATTCAGCCCTTATACACATCCCAGTTCAACTGATTAATATTTTCTCTTCCCTGTACCTTTGACTTACTGATCTGTCACTGCTCTTAGATTTGAAAGGGAAAAAAAATTCCTGTCTTTTAATCTTTAGTCTCAATATTTTTTCCCAACTTCAGGCTAAAAATGGGATCCAAGAAATGGAATGTTGTTCTCTAGAATCTGACTGGATCTATTTTCACCCTGATGCTTCTGGAAGAATAATACATGTTGGCCCAAATCAGGTCAAGTGAGTATTTTCATTAGTTATTTTAAAATTAAAAGTAGCTTTTGGTAGCATTTACTGGGATCTTTAGTTTTGTACTAGCTAACTACTGAGCAAATTATGGAAATAATTAGCTGCCTATAGAGTACTTCCTCAGAGACTGACATCTGGAAAACCTGACTATTCCCTCAGCCTCATCATTACTGTTTATAAATATTATCTTTGAGTAAGTTCTTCGATGGATGATATAAAAGTAAAGAAGATGGCAGATTGGCTCATCCTCATCAGGTCTTAGTTCTCCAGGATTAATGAGAACAAAGATGATTTTTCTTTGTTCTAAATAACAGCCTTACCATAGGAGAGGTAGCAGATTGTTTGAAATAAACCTTGTTAACCCACATCTTCCAAGAGTTGTCCTCTCCTTCCTTGAAACCTTCTTCATTTGGCTTCTCTGACACAGTTCTCCTAAATGTGTCCCCCTCTCTGAGATCTGCCCTTCTCAGTATACATCATGCTCCTCTACTCAAACTTTGTTAGAAGTCCTCAGGACTTGGTCTTCTCACTCTTTTTTTCTCTCTCCAGAATTCTATATTCCCTTGGCTTCAAAGATCATGTATACAAAATTCCAAAAATGTTATTCTAGCCCAAATCTCTCACCTAAGATCATGTTAGAAATCTGGAATCATTCTTGGCACTTTCTGGCCTTGTCTTTCATCAGGGTACATATACTTAAACATTCACGGCTTTTCTCTCTCTCTCTCTCTCTCTCTCTCTCTCTCTCTCTCTCTCTCTCTGTCAGTGCAGTTTATTTTGCTACTAAATATTTCTTCAATCTGCCACTTTCTGCCCTTGGCCACTGTCATCATCTTGGCCAGACCATTGTCATCACTGGCCTGGACCATAGTAATTTAATAGTGTACTTACAGAACTCCAAAAATCCATTTTTGCATTTTTTAAGTCTGTTTTCTTCTCAGCAGCTAAGAGTGATTTTTAGAAACTGCCGGAAGCCGGTCCATCCTTGCTGCTTGACACAGTCGCTGCAGGAAAGAAACATCTGCACAGCATGTTTCAAGGGACCTGGCGTATATAGCATACTGTTCTTAATATGTTTGCTCCCCTTAGCGCTGTGTGTTTTAACCAAGGTCACCTCTCCGAGAAAGGTTGTTTCCCCAGGTAGGGATTTTCCCCTGAAGTCAGGGAGGGGATAAAACTCCTTAACTAAGTGCCAGGCGGGTAGTTATTCACTTTAACTACAAACAATCATGCTTAAGCTACATAATCTTTACTCCCTGGAATGGAGATAAGAAACGCCCTAACCTTTGCAATAGAGATTGACAGGATTAAAATCAACTGGTATAAATACGGATGTAACAAGACAATAAACAGCAGAACCTCTCTGGAGATCCAGACCAGAACTTGGCTGGAGATCCTGGCTGGAGATCCTGGCTAGGCTGCTGATCAACTGAACACTGTCTCCGTGTCCTTCCTTCTTCGCCGACTCCGTCTACGCCTTTGGGAACCCCTGGACCTGCTGGGGTTGGACCCCGGCAAGAAACATTAACAAACACAAAAACCTGACCATGTGAATTCTGCTTCAACCTTTTTATGGCTTCTTGCTGCTCTTGGCATGGTCTGAAAGACCCTCCTCTGACTCAGTTTACTTCAGTCATCCTCTTTTCAGAAAGGCGAGGACCTGTTCCCTCTGTTTGGAGTCTGCTTCCCTGAGCTATTCTTCTACCTAATATCTATTCATATTTAATGCCTGAGCTTAACTGTCCCTTTCCACAGAGTCCTTTCCTGAAACCTTTGTTAGATTAGCTCCTCGTCTTCTATTCATTGCACCAACTATGTAATCTTCCTCTGTAGCACTTAGAGCAATTTTCACTAATTATTTGTGTGAACATCTGTTTAAAATCTAGACTTGGAATCATGAGCTCCATAAATACAGGGAAAGAGACTGTTTTCCTGACTCCTCTAATCTTAGCACTGAGCACAGTGCTTAGCCCAGACTAAGGTGCTCAGTGAGTGTTCGTGAGTAAGAAGGGAGTGTCTGCTCCACGTTAATTAGTCTACTTCTCTGGACTGAGTATAAGGAGGATGACTGGTCTTAATGAAATACGATTGTGAACTTCTACAAAAAGTTATAAAAACTGGCTCAGCTTTTGTAAACCTTACTTTTAATGTTTGTTACCACCCATCTCTTAATATTAAGAGTTTGAGTTGTTTTTTTAAAATATATTTTATTGATTTTTTTACAGAGAGGAAGGGAGAGGGATAAAGAGGTAGAAGCATCGATGAGAGAGAAACATCGATCAGCTGCCTCCTGCACACCCCCTACTGGGGATGTGCCCACAACCAAGGTACATGCCCTTGACCGGAATCAAACCTGGGACCCTTCAGTCCACAGGCTGATGCTCTATCCATTGAGCCAAACCAGTTAAGGCAGTTTTAAAAAATAAAGTCCTGCTCTAACCGGTGTGGCTCAGCAGATAGAGCGTCGGCCTGCAGACTGAAGGGTCCCGGGTTCGATTCCGGTCAAGGGCATGTACCTTGGTTGCGGGCACATCCCCAGTGGGGGGTGTGCAAGAGGCAGCTGATCGATGTTTCTCTCTCGTCGATGTTTCTACCTCTTTATCCCTCTCCCTTCCTCTCTGTAAAAAATCAATAAAATATATTTTTAAAAAAAGAAAGAAAGAAAATAAAGTTCACAGAGAGTATGTGCCCTTTTGCCATGTTTTAATAGATAGGCACTATACAATATCCACACTAATTAAGATAGCTAATTGGGTAATTTAAAATTAATCTGATTTCTTTATATCTGGCAAACTCTAAGGCCTCTGGCTCTTCCTGGCCACAGTAGCTGCTTCTCCCTGCTGCTCTCTTTGCCTACACTTGAGACTTTAAGCTTTGAAAATATTGTGCTTTTGAAGCCTGTTAGTGCTGTGAACAGATTTGTGTGGGTGGTGAGCAAATTATTTTATTTTCCTTTGATCCAAGGAAACCACTCAGAAAACCCAAATCTTTAAATATAATCTTAAGAAAAAAGAAAAGTATTGAGTCATTTGCAGTTCTTAAATATTACTCTTTCATGAAAACTCTTAGTTCAAGCATGGTTGATAATCCAGTCTGTCTTATAATTCAAGTGTTGTTCATTGATATCTCATTTTATCTTCAGAAATAAAAATGCAAATTATCTACAGGCATACCTCAGAGATATTGCATGTTCGGTTCCAGACGACAGCAATAAAGCAAGTATTGCAATAAAGTGAGCCTTAATCTTTTTGCTGGTGGAGGGTCTTGCCTTCAGTTTGTAAAAAAAAAAAAAATGCAACATCTGCGAAGAGCAATAATACGAGGTATGCCTGTACTGTAATGTCATTGTTAAAGTCAAAACGTTAAAGACCTGTTGCAGGATGGCAGAGATGAGGTTTTTAAAAAAGTAACTTTCATTAAGCCAGTTTGGAAGATGGCTTAAGACTGAGCATGCTACTTCATTACCTACCTCAGTAGCACTTGTCATCATTCCTACATTTTTCTGTTTAACAAGATACCTGAATTTGAAAGAATTTATGGACACGTAAATAAATGGACGTTAATATTTCAGAAAATCAGGAGAGGAGAACTAACTCAGTGTTGTTACTATAATTTTCATTTGTTGAGTTTCACTAGTTCAACTTCGGCATTTTGATGGTGAGTTGAAGTCTTAGGTTCTTAGAATCCTTTTCTCTCTTTTTTTTTTTTTTAATTAAATCTTTATTGTTCAGATTATTACATTTGTTCCTCTTTTTTCCCCCCATAACTCCCCTCCTCCCAGTTCCCGCCCCACCCTCCGCCCTCACTCCCCACCCACTGTCCTCATCCATAGGTGCACGATTTTTGTCCAGTCTCTTCCCGCATCTCCCACACCCCTTTCCCCCCCAAGAATAGTCAGTCCATTCCCTTTCTATGTCCCTGATTCTATTATGATCACCAGATTATTTGTTCACTTGATTCTTAGATTCACTTGTTGATAGATGCATGTTTGTTGTTCATAATTTGTATCTTTACCTTTTTCTTCTTCCTCTTCTTAAAGGATACCTTTCAGCATTTCATATAATACTGGTTTGGTGGTGATGAACTCCTTTAGCTTTTCCTTATCTGTGAAGCTCTTTATCTGACCTTCAGTTCTGAATGATAGCTTTGCTGGATAAAGTAATCTTGGTTGTAGGTTCTTGGTATTCATCACTTTGAATATTTCTTGCCATTCCCTTCTGGCCTGCCAAGTTTCTGTTGAGAAATCAGCTGACAGTCGTATGGGTACTCCCTTGTAGGTAACTGAGTTTCTTTCTCTTGCTGCTTTTAAGATTATCTCTTTGTCTTTTGCTCTTGGCATTTTAATTATGATGTGTCTTGGTGTGGTCCTCTTTGGATTCCTTTTGTTTGGGGTTCTCTGCGCTTCTTGGACCTGTAAGTCTATTTCTTTCACCAGGTGGGGGAAGTTTTCTGTCATTATTTCTTCAAATAGGTTTTCAATATCTTGCTTTCTCTCATCTTCTGGCACCCCTATAATTCTGATGTTGGTACGCTTGAAGCTGTCCCAGAGGCTCCTTACACTATCTTCGTATTTTCGGATTCTTTTTTCGTTTTGCTTTTCCAGTTGGGTGTTTTTTGCTTCTTCGCATTTCGAATCTTTGACTTGATTCTTGCAATCCTCTAGTCTGCTGTTGGGTGTCTGTATAATATTCTTTATTTCAGCCAGTGTATGCTTAATTTCTAGTTGGTTCTTTATCACCACATCGAGGGTCTCATTAGATTTCTTGAGGATCTCACTACATTTATCGGCAGTTTCTAGAAAATTATTGAAAGACCTTAAAATTGCAGTTTTTAGCTCTATATCCTCCATTTCTGTCATGTTTCTTTGTCTCCGCATTTTTTATGCTTTCTTGGTGCACCCCCTTGTGGTCTTTGTGCGCAGTCTTGTTGTAGTTAAGCCTTGATTGTTGTCGGCAATACTGGGGGTGATTTGACCTCCAGGCCAACTGGCTATCCCTTTTTTCTCTTTTCAGAGTTTTATTTTATTTTATTTTTTTAATTAAATCTTTATTGTTCAGATTATTACATTTGTTCCTCTTTTTTTTCCCCCCATAACTCCCCTCCTCCCAGTTCCCGCCCCACCCTCCGCCCTCACTCCCCACCCACTGTCCTCATCCATAGGTGCACGATTTTTGTCCAGTCTCTTCCCGCATCTCCCACACCCCTTTCCCCCCCAGGAATAGTCAGTCCATTCCCTTTCTATGTCCCTGATTCTATTATAATCACCAGTTCATTCTGTTCATCAGATTATTTATTCACTTGATTCTTAGATTCACTTGTTGATAGATGCATATTTGTTGTTCATAATTTGTATCTTTACCTTTTTCTTCTTCTTCCTCTTCTTAAAGGATACCTTTCAGCATTTCATATAATCCTGGTTTGGTGGTGATGAACTCCTTTAGCTTTTCCTTATCTGTGAAGCTCTTTATCTGACCTTCAGTTCTGAATGATAGCTTTGCTGGATGGACTCCTTTAGCTTTTCCTTATCTGTGAAGCTCTTTATCTGACCTTCAGTTCTGAATGATAGCTTTGCTGGATAAAGTAATCTTGGTTGTAGGTTCTTGGTATTCATCACTTTGAATATTTCTTGCCACTCCCTTCTGGCCTGCATAGTTTCTGTGGAGAAATCAGCTGACAGTCGTATGGGTATTCCCTTGTAGGTAACTGAGTTTCTTTCTCTTGCTGTTTTTAAGATTCTCTCTTTATCTTTTGCTCTTGGCATTTTAATTATGATGTGTCTTGGTGTGGTCCTCTTTGGATTCCTTTTGTTTGGGGTTCTCCGCGCTTCTTGGACCTGTAAGTCCATTTCTTTCACCAGGTGGGGGAAGTTTTCTGTCATTATTTCTTCAAATAGGTTTTCAATATCTTGCTCTCTCTCATCTTCTGGCACCCCTATAATTCTGATGTTGGTACGCTTGAAGCTGTCCCAGAGGCTCCTTACACTATCCTCGCATTTTTGGATTCTTTTTTCATTTTGCTTTTCCGGTTGGGTGTTTTTTGCTTCCTCGCATTTCAAATCATTGACTTGATTCTTGCGCTCCTCTGGTCTGCTGTCGGGAGTCTGTATAATATTCGTTATTTCAGTCCGTGTATGCTTAATTTCTAGTTGGTTCCCCAATATAAGATCGAGGGTCTTATTAGTTTTCTTGTAGATCTCATTAAGTTTATCGGCGGCTTCTAAACAGTTCTTGAGAGACCTTAAAAGTGTGGTTCTGAACTCTATATCTTCCATTGACAATTTTGTCCTGTTTCTTTGTCTCCGCATTTTGTTATGCTTCCTTGGTGCACCCCCTAGTGGTCTTTGTTCGCAGTCTTATAGTTAAATCTTGATTGTTGTAGCTAATTCCAGGGAGGGTTTGACCTCCAGGCCAAGTGACTATGAGAATCAGCTGTGTCAGCAGTGAGAGAACTTCTGTCCTCTAGGGAGGTGCTAATCTGGCGTTTGCCTGAGGCTATCCGGCAAATGCCTGTGTGCAGGGCTTGGGCGGGGCGGGTCGCACAGGATCAACAGGGTGGGCCGGAGAGAGCAGTTATGGCGGCTCTCAGTCCTGTCCCCAGGGGCTCTGCCTCTCTGAGTCCCAGCACCCGCTGCAAAGCTCAGAGAGAAAGCTGCACTCGCTCTGACCGAAGCCAGACAGTCCCGCTTCTCCCGTTTGAGTCTGGGTCCCTAAAGACTCGCCTGTATCTGGAGCTCAGAGACTGCGCCTCCCTCCCGATTGAAAACGCCAACTGCGCCCTCCGCCGCCAGCCCGCTCCGCGCACTCCGCACCTCAGAATTTGACTTTAGCACTGCGCCTCCTCTGAGTGTCCGTATGCGTTTCTCTTTCCTCCTAGTTGTAGGACTTCCACTCAGGCAGCGTTCCTGTGGTTCTGGGTGATGTCCCTTCCGTTTTTTGGTTTCACTTTTGAAGTAGTTGTTCAAAGCAGCAAACTCCAGCGTTAACCTATGCCGCCATCTTGGTTCTCTGTCTCTTTTCAGAGTTTTAAAGCTAAATGAAATAGAAAATAATCGTGGCCAGCATCAGATCTCTGAAGATTTTGTCATATTGGCCAACAGAGAGAACAAAGTAAGTCAGGAGTACTTTAAAATCTGTGTGTATCACTGTCTTTCTATATAGGAATAGAATAGTGCAGATGTGTTTGCCCTTTAGCATGACTGACAAGAACAGCACAAGTTTATAAAAGTCTGTTCACTTTGTCTATGTGGATAGCTGGTCTTAACCCCAAGTACATAGGAGATCTGGAGAGAACTGATTATATTGAGTATTTTTTAAAATATATTTTTATTGATTTCAGAAAGGAAGGGAGAGGTAGAGAGAGAGAGAAACATCAATGATGAGAGAGAATCATTGATCAGCTGCCTCCTGCACGCCCCCTACTGGGGATGGAGCTGCAACCTAGGCATGTGCCCTTGACCAGAATCGAATCCGGGACCCTTCAATCCATAGTCTGACCCTCTATCCACTGAACCGAACCAGACAGGACTATATTGAGTATTTTTTGCTTATTTCTATTTCCTTTCTGGGTTTCTCTTTAAGTTTTTATTGATGAGTTATCAACCTTTGGGTTTAATTCATTGTTTTGACTCCAGCTGGTTCTTTTCCTTTAGCATACAAATTAAGAATATGAAGGAAATCATACAGAGCGAAATTTCCAAAAGCAGATCCATTCTATTTGCTGTACTATTATATACTAAAGCAGAGTCTGAAGGGCGAGTGAAGTAGCGAATCTGTAACCTTCGTATTTATTTTTGCCTATTTTAGTGTTTTATCCATTAAAAACTTTACAGTAACAAGTATTTTTATTAAATGGAGGATCAAAAAGCTGATTCAGAATTTTATTAGTTGAGGAAAGAATTATGGATGTTGGAGAAGGGTTGGTTAGTTTTACCACATTTGCTAATTAATTTTGTTATTAACTGCATATACTAGGACTTGTCACATCTTTTTTCTCTCTCCATCTGATAGAATGAAAACTTACCCACTGTTACTGCATCTGGACGGGTGGTTAAAAAAAAATTTAATCTTCTGGATGATGACCCAGAACAAGAGGTATTACTCTAGCCAGAGACAACAAACCAAACTAGTATGTACTTGCTCTATGGGTTTTAAATTATTTTGGCCAACAGGGACCCTGGGGTAGAGATTGAGGGTGAGTTCCATGCAGGCTTAGTCTGTAAGACTATGCATACTATTTCAACCAGTGCTTTCCCGTTACCCTCTCTTTTCAGATTGGAATTATTCATAAGGTTTTATTTGCAGAAAGGTTCATAGGACTGAAATAACTTGAAAATACCATTAGCTTATTGTTTTGTTGTGTTAATGTGGACACTTTAGCAGTGGTTCTCAACCTTCCTGTCCTTTAAATACAGTTCCTCATGTTGTGACCCAACCATAAAATTATTTTCGTTGCTACTTCATAACTGTAATGTTGCTACTATTGTGAATCGTAATGTAAATATCTGATATGCAGGATGGTCTTAGGCGACCCCTGTGAAAGTGTCGTTCGACCGCCAAAGGGGTCGCGACCCACAGGTTGAGAACCACTGTTTTAGAGGGAAATCTCTTAGAAAAGTCTTGAGTTTTCTCCTTCTGACTTTATGGCTTTAACCTTATTTTTTTACCTACTAGACATGGATATGTTTGTTTATGTTCATGGGCCAGGGAAGAAGGGTCGTAAATCAGTTCAGCCTCTGGCCTCAAATTGACATTACTAGTCACTGAGCTAATACATTTTTATCCTTTTTTAATTATTGTTTTTATTGATTTCAGAGAGACAGGAAGGGAGAGGGATAGATTTTATCAATGAAAGAGAAACATCACCAATCAGCTGCCTCCTGCATATGCCCCTACCTGGGACTAAGCCTGCAACCAGGGCATGTGCCCTGACCGGGAATCAAACCAGTGACCTCTTGACTCATGGGTTGACACTCAATCAATGAGCCACACCAGTGGGCTATCCTTTTCTTTTGAAGAGGCATTGGAAGGACTTTTGAAATCAACTGACAGTTACCATGCTGCAAATATAAAACCAATGCATAAATACTAAATCCATTTAGACCATAGAACTATATTATTTGTGTACTATTTCTAGGTAGAAATATTAGAATAACCTTCTAAGGATAGTTTTTGAAAAATTTTAAAAATAGGTTGGAGTTGGCCCAGTATGTGGCAACTGTCAAAAAGGAAAAAATATATATTTATTCTTTTGAACCAAGGAAATCTGTTGAGAACAAAGCAGAAAGCTCCCTATCCTGTATAAAAAACTGTATTCAAGAAAGACATACCAAAACTACCCAAAGGTAGCAAGAATAATTAAGAGGGAAGGAGGTAGTTGCAAAGAGGGCTACTCTACATCATGAGATAAGAAAAAAACTTTTAGCCTGGAAAAGGAAAATTGAAAAGGATTGTGATTAACATCTATAAAAGCACACCCAAACTTTGAAGTTTGACCAAGTTTAGATCAATGCAAAAAAGTAAATGAAAAGGAACCACAGATAATAAATCTATGTAAATTTGTATGTCATAAGTGGTAAAGGTAGAAAATACAAATGGGTTAACAAGCAGTTTGACCAAATGTAAGTGGAGGATTTGCATGTGGTGATTAAGAGAAATTTGCTGTGCCTGCCAGGATATGTCTCTCTGGTCCATCCCTGATGGCTGGGCATGGATCTGCTTCCCTGTGAGGCTGTTGGAGTCCCAGGTTTTCCTCCCTGGGTTCTGGAGTTAGGTTTTCCTTCCTTGAGTTTTTACCATCTTTAATCTAACCTATATCTCTTATCCTACTCCTGTTTTGTGGGTTAAATTTCAATTCTAAATATCCTTCCTCAAGTTTAAGCAGCAATTTTGTTGTTTGTTTGTTTGTTTTCTTTAAGGAACTAAGAAGGGTTTTTAAAAAAAGTATGACAAATAGAATCCTAAATAGTATATGATGGGCTATCAATTCTTCTTTAAATGACTTGTTTTTTTCTGTCATAAGAACCTTCCTAGCACAGTGGCAGTCTTCAGGTTGCAGAACTGGGCTCTATATATTTCGTTGTTTCTGGGAACCAGATATTCAGAGACAGCAGTTGAATATCTCTTTCGAATTTGGAGAAGCTCTGGTTTGCTCATAATAGAGAATTTCAGTTATAGTTTGGCTGAGATGTACATAGGCTTGGTTCTGTTTGTCAAAATCTGTGGGATACTGTTTAAGTCTTGAAAATCTTGAAACTGGTATTTTACTAGGCATATAAGCAGAGACACCTTCCCCCCTATGTTCCCACCCACTCATTCTTTTTTCTGCATTATTTTCATAAGTAGTAGAATAGTTAAACTACAAATGTAGAGATAACCCTAACTGGATAACTGGATTTGTTCTTCTTTTCCTTTGCCTTATCCATCTATTCCCCAAGACTTTCAAAATTGTGGACTATGAAGATGAATTGGATTTGCTTTCTGTGGTAGCTGTTACTCAAATAGATGCCGAAGGAAAAGCTCACCTTGATTTCCACTGTAATGAATATGGAACTTTACTTAAAAGCATTCCACTGGTGGAGTCATGGGATGTGGTGAGTAGCGTTCATGCAATACAAAGTTGTAAGGGTTCCCTTTATAGGTGGCATTTATTGAAACAGATGTTTCTATGTCTGTGTCAGTCCTAGTTCATAGACCAATGACCACATGAAAGAGGTTACTGGACTACATGTAGGACAAAATGAGTACTTCTTTAGACTTCCTCCCCTAGGGAGTAGAGGATGTCACCTTACCAGTGGCCTTAAAGACAAAACTTTATGTTTTTTCCGGGACATGCTGACTATTTCCTTATCATAGTCCTTGGTTTTCTCTCATTTTGAAAGTTTGTTAATATTTTAAAAAATAAAAGTTTACAGTTATTTAATGGAGACCATATCTAAGAATGTAGTGTTTCCAGGCACTCTTAGAAGCATTTGTCTATTCTTCTGAGTATTATAGAATATAAAAGCTATAAGAAATATTTTATCCAATTCTTATTTTATCAGTGGGGAACCTGAGAGGTTTAGCAATTTGCCCACCAAAACATGGTGAAGTAGTTGCAGTTTTGGCAATAAAATCTGGCTGTTCAGACTCTTAAGTTCAGGGCTCTTTCCATTCTTAGCATTTTGTGTCATGCTTTTCTCGTAAGTCAGTGGTCGGCAAACTCATTAGTCAACGGAGCCAAATATCAACAGTACAACAACTGAAATTGCTTTTGAGAGCCAAATTTTTTAAACTTAAACCATATAGGTAGGTACATTGTTACTAACTTAATTAGGGTACTCCTAAGCTGGCCTTTGCTAAAAACGTCCTCAATCTGATTGAGGTACATTCGCTGAGGTCGACCCCTTCCAACTCTCCCATCCACACTCGTCTTGTATACTTGTTTCGTCTATCTCCTTTCCGAAAACCGACTTCTGTGCATGGGCCACGAAGTTTCAATCACACTGTACGTGCACTCCCGCACATGGTATTTTGTGGAAGAGCCACACTCAAGGGGCCAAAGAGCCGCATGTGGCTTGCGAGCCGCGGTTTGCCGACCACTGTCGTAAGTAATCTGCATATCCACAAATAATGAAAAATAAACCTTTTATGACAACTATTTTGCCTCCAAATGTGTATTTGAAGATCCCTGGCATAGGTGCTGTGACATTTTAGGGACAAGTAGTCAATATGGTTCTATTCTAAATAGTGAAGGGGAGATTGCTTTTGACTGTGTTTTCATTGCAGACATACAGCCACGAAGTCTACTTTGACAGAGACTTGGTCCTACACATAGAACAGAAACCCAGCAGGGTCTTTAGCTGCTATGTTTACCAGATGGTGTGTGACCCTGGGGAAGAAGAAGAAGCCACAAACAGAAGTTGAGAAAAAGAGTGAGAAAATTTTTAATTTTGAGATGTAACTTATGAGACTTTTAGCCAAACACCCCAACAACTGTGTCCAGTCCTCCTTTTTTATTATTTGCATAGCAAGTTCTCCATAAGATCTTGTGTTAACTCCAGATGACTGTGACTTCTCTTTTAAACTCTTGCCATATAAGGTGGTGAGAACTTCATTTTATGTAAGGGATTTTTAGAATATTCTCCCAAGAAGTCTAGCATTTTAGAGATTTTAGCTAGGTGGTGTTGAAAATATAAAATGTTGAGAACAGCTTAATTTTAATCATTGGGGAGAAGGTCATTGGTGAGGAGGTGTTTAACGTGGCTCTTAAAGGATAGTATGGAATTTTGATTGGTAATACTAAGAGAGAAAGACAAAAAGAAAGATACAAAAGATAAAGAAAGAAATCCTGTGTCCTCTGTACCATATTTTGCTTAAGGATGAGAAATGAGATCTGTAATGTGAAAGCATACTTTTGAACCCAAGATGTGTCATCACAGTTAAAAAGAAAACCTTAAATATGTATCTGTATTTTGTATTTGTACTAATTATTTCTTCTTCCATGGTTTTATTCTCGTTGCTTGATGTTCTCATTGATTATTTGTGCTTCTATCGTAGACGAATGTAAATGATTCCGAACAAACTTTAAGTGAATTTTTTTCTAATATGTAGCCTGTTAGCTCTTAATTATTAAGAATGTTGTACTCATTTCACCATTCGGTCTAGTTGGTGTGTCCTCCAGTTTTGCTTGGGCAATACAGTAAGGTAAAGTTATTCTGGGTTGTACCAGTTTTGCTCTCTGTAGAAGGGTAGGTGGTTCCAGGAGTAGCTTGGAAACTAACTGCTTAGGTAGAAAAAACTTTTGGTTTTATCTTACTTGTGAAATGAGTATTTTTTCTTATTTGTTAAAATTGATCTAAATATGATCCTTGAAATCAGATAGTCATTCTTTAGAATGTTAAATAAATGCAACCTAAGTAAAAGGAGAAAGTATTTTTGTGTGCTCTCTGTCAGAGAAATCCAGTTGCTTGCAGTGCACATGTTCCATACATTTCTCTGATTCAGCCTCAAAAAAATAACTAGTAAAAAAAGGCGGGGGGGGGGGGGGGGAGGGGCGGAAATAGCAGTAAAAATCATTGCTGATTCCTACTAAGGTTAAAATAAGGAACTTTAGCTTGGATGATTTATATAAAAACTCTTCAGTTGTAGCTTGAACCCATGTTAAGAATGATGTAAATTCTGCCCTGTTCTGCCCTTGAAGCTTGCAGAGAAATTTCAACCTTATTATAATCAACAGGGCTGAGGAGAGAGACGTATTAGCTATTCTAAAAGTCAGGAAATTAGTGGCAGAGTCCATAAACTTACAGCAATAAAGGGAGTAGACATAAAACTGTCTTTTGTGCAACAGAAAAGAAGATGGGTAACATTTTAGAAAAAGGGAAAATACTTATATGTGGGCTAAAAATATGATCTTTCTGAATCTGATCCTACGTATTACAACCATTTGGGAAAGCAGAAGTGATTACCTCAGGAGCAAGATGATAAAACTATCTTCATATATGAAATGTGAATACTTTTATATCCACTAATTGAAAAATTCATTCTCATTTTATGCACATTTAATAGAACTATTTAATTTAATATGTGAAGCTTTCAGAGCATTTTAGAGACATGATGTGATTACGAAGTGGTTGAATAGTTGCCATGTGGTGGATATAGCCCCAAACTTCTAGTTAGACACGAGGTAAATGGCCCTGCCCAGTTCCTTTCAATCTGGAAAAGGGGGAATAGATTAAAAATACCAGAGAAAAGAAAGAAAGCAGTGCTGTGTGGGTTTCAAGGCAAATATAGTTATAAAACCTAATCTTTGTTTCCGGGAGTGTCAGAAAAGAATGTCCTAAGACTTGAATCCTGTCAGATTTTTTCCAGAAGAGGTTTGTTGAGTTTCTCCTTCTCCTTTAAGTTATTGCCTTCTTTTGATAAAATGCTAGAAAGGATCCCATGTACTCAAAAAGGCATCTGACCACCGAGATTCCTGTCATTTTTTAAAAGGGTACATAAAATGGTACTGCCGTCCTGTTTTGGTGCGTATGGGTGTGTGCTTCTAGTCTAGATCTGAATCGACCACTAAGAACCTCCTACTGTCTCACCACTGCCCAAATCGAACCAGACCAAGATCCAAGTGCCACATGGGCCAGGCAGGAAATGCACCTCGTGTGGAAGACAGTAGGGAACTGTGGGCCATGTAGCAAACGGAAGGGCTGTGCCCAATTGCAGGACAAGGACAAGCTGCTATTACTTAGTTTCAGGCACTTACAACATTGTGTGGCAATGTGGGCTGCATGATGGGTAACAGGATGGTTGATAAAAAGATGGCAAAAGGTACACAAGATAGCAAAGAATATGGAAATTTACAGATAACACACATACCTGGAGATAATATAGTAAGCTTCCCCGAAAAGTAGGGGCATACAGTTGCTCATTCTGCCACCTGCCAGGTGTGAGTCTGTTATCCTCTTGAGGGTGAAGAGAAGTTGTGGTTAATAGCCTCCTGCCCCACCGTAACCCTCCTCTCTACCTTAATGTGTTAGAGACATTCATGTGTGCCCACCTACTTAACAGGTGCTAGTGCCAGGCATAAAACATAATGGGGTGACATTTCTGAGTGTTTAATTCAGACTGGGTGAAGCAGGGTAGCTTCTTTCAGCAAGTCCAGATATTAAGCTGATAAGAGATGCATTTCTGCATTTCACTCCTTGATCTAAGGTTCTGTATAGTCTCACAATATCAATGCAATAAGATTATTTTCCTTGGCCTTCTAAAACATTTCTGGGACAAAACAAAAGAAATATTATTATGGTTATTTGAACTACCTAGTGAGGAAATCATATTGCTTTATTTAAACAAATTAAGGTGCCCCACATCCTTCCATTTGAACAACCTAGTGAGGAAATCATATTGCTTTATTTAAACAAATTAAGGTGCCCCACATCCTTCCACCAGTTGTTTTGTGTCCTGTACATGCTCTTAAAAAACTTGTAAGTTATATTTAGTGAGTGCTTCCTGTCTACTATCATGGTGATGCATGTAAAAGGAGTTGTCTCAGCATTCAGAGTAACCATCTGAGGTGTGAACTCCGTCGTACAAATGAGGAAAATGACAATTGCAGAAGTTAATTTGTGCAAGGTCCTACAATGAGTAAGTGCAGAGATCGGAAAAATCCCCATTAGGTTGACAAAAACTTATGCCAGATTTCCTCCAAACCTCTTAAAAGGCTTTCCCCATGAAAATTTTCAAACATACAGCAAAGTTGACAGAATTTTATGGTAAATATCCAAATACCAACCACATGGATTCTACCTTTCACTCTACATTGTTATCTATCCATGCCACTTTTATGATTTACTTCAAAGTAAATTGCAGACGTTGGTATACTTTTCCCTAATAGTTCAACATGCATGTCATTAAATTGATTTAATACTGTTTAGTTTTTAAAATTTTTTATGTATACTTACATGCAACGAAGTACACAAATGTTAAGTATAAATTTGCTGAGTTTTTGCAAATGCATAGACCTGTGTAACCCAAACCCTTTACATTGCAGTCATCCTAGGAAGTTTCCTCCTGGCCCTTTCTAGGCAATCCACTCCACGTCCTACCAGGTGTAACTATTGTTCTGATTATTTTGCCTTATAGGTTAAATGTGCCTGTTCTAATATTTTACATAAATGCTATCATGCAAAGCATAATGCTTCTTTCACTCAGCGTGTTTTTGAGATTAACATTGCATGTGTCAGTGGTTCATTCCTTTTATTGCTGAGTATTCTTTTGCATGAATATATCACCATTTGTTTTTTCCATTTTCCTGTTGATGGGCACCCAGGCTGTTTCTACTTGAAAAAACAACAACACTATGTATATATCTCAAAGCCTAAGAGACCGGCCAACTGGCCGCTAGCTATGATGCACAATGACGACCAGGGGCAGACGCTCAATGCAGGAGCTGCTGAGCTGTGGTAACTTGGCAGCTGTGCTTCTCAGGTGACGCACCTGGAATCAGAGAGGAGGGAGCCCGATTCCGGAGTGCGTCACCTGAGAACCGCCCTCTCACAATCTGGGACTCCTTGGGGGATGTCAGAGAGCCAGTTTCGGCCCAATCCCCGCAAGCCAGACCGAGGGACCCCACTGGTGCACAAATCCATGCACCGGTCCTCTAGTTATGAATAAAGCTGTGGTGAATATTCTTGTACAATTTTTTTGTGGGTGAACATACTGGTATGTCTTTATTCCTTTTAGGTAAACATCTAAGGATGAAATTGTTGGGTCCCAGAATAGGTGTATGTATAGTTTAATAAGAAACTGCCAGACCATTTACTCCAACATTTGTGGTTGTTTATCTTTTTATCTTAGTGTTTTTGGTGGGTATATAACCTTTTCTAGTTGAGACTTAGATTGTTTCTACTTGTGCCTAGCAGCCTTCCCTCCGTTCAACCACTTTATCTTCTTTAACCGCTACCCCCCTATCAGGAACTGTTGAAAACATTCTTTTTATGTGATAATAGTTAAGATAATTCAAAATCCAGCTTGAATTATTCTTTTTCAAGGAATACATTGCTCACCAAGGAACCCTGTTTCCTTTCGTGAAGACCAGCATTGGAGAACAAACCTGGTTCCTAAGGGCACACGCCTGACTGTTCCACATGACTGGTGGAGCTGGACGACATGACACCAGAGAAGAGGCTCCATAAAACATTGTAATAAATAATACGACTGTTTTCTTTAAAGACTGTGTTCATGTTATTTCTAAATCAGGGAAATTTCTGTTCTAATATGAAAGCATATTAAACAAGCTGTACCCTTTCCCCAATAACTATATTGGATCTCAATGTGATTTTAAATTTAGTTTTCCTTATTAACTAATGGTAAGCACATTCTCATGTGTTTATTTTCCATGTGTAAATTTTACATTTTATTAACAAACTAGAGGCCCAGCGCATGAAATTCGTGTGCAGATATGGTCCCTAGGCCTGGCCTGAGATCAGGGCCACGCCCCCAGCTTTGTCAGGAAGGATGTCCGGCCTAATTAGCATATTACCCTTTTATTAGTATAGATTTATTGAGGCATATGGACATACAATAAAATGAACATATTTAAAGTGTACAATTTGTTAAGTTTTGACATGTAAACATCACTATAATCAAAATAACAAACATATCCATTACCCCAAAGAGTTTTCCCTCCCTCCTGCCCCTCTCTCCTCTTTCTAAGGCAACCACTGCTCTGTGTCTGTCACTTTAGGTTAGTTTGAGTTTTCTAGAATTTTATATAAGTGGAATCACACAGTAAATACTTTTCAGGGGGCTTCTTTCACTCAGTATAGTTGTTTTGAGATCATCTGTGTTGCATGTACCAATAGTTCATTTCTTTTTATTCCTTGGCAGTGCTCCATTGTTTGTTTATGACCACAATTAAATGCCTTTACCTGTTAATGTTCATTTGGGTTGTTTCCATTTTTCGGCTACTACAAATAAAGATCTTACAAACATTTACAGACAAATTTGTATGGGCATATGCTTTATTTCTATTGAGTGAAAACCAAGGGAGAAATGGCTGGGTCATACATTAGGTATATGCTTGACTTTTTAAAAAGTTTCCAAATAGTTTTTCCAAAATGGCTGTACCATTTTATATTCCTGTCATCAGTGTATATGAGAGTTCCAACTGCCCCAAATCCTTGCCAACACTCGGAATGGTCACTCTTTTAGATATTTAATTTAGGTTTTATATTTAGATTTATAATCAACTTTTGTTAGTTTTTGTGTATGGTGCAAGGCATGGATCAAAGTTTGTTTGGACTTGTTTTTCTGCATATGGGTACCCAACACATAGGGAAAATCTTTCAGTCTTTCACCATTAAGTATGATAATGAACATTTGGGTTGTTTGCTTTTTTTGGCTGCTACAAATAAAGCTCCTACGAACATTTGTAGAAAATTTAAAGCACGGTTAAACAGTTACAGTTTTGTAGGTTGATCATAGATGCCCTTTGTCAATTTGAGGAAGTTCCCTTCTAGTCCTAGTTTTCTGGGTTTTTATTGAATGTAGATGTTGGAATTTGTCGCATTCTTTTTCTGCATCTACTGAGATGATCATGTGGTTTTTCTATTTCAGACTGTTAATGTTTTAAGTTACATTGATTGGTTTTTTAGTGTTAAACCAACCTTGAATTCTTGGGATGAACCCACCTGAGACCTCCACATTTCCAACCATATTTAAAATCAGACAATTCCTGCAGTTCCACTTTTCACATTGTGTGAAAAATAATGAATTCATAAAATTTATCATATTTGTACTGCGGCATACGTGAATAGTTTCAAGTACATTACATTTAGATGACTTTCTGCCTTTACAGATAATTTTCAGACATGTTGGGGCCTTTTGCCAGAGGTTTCATCCTCATAAACAGAATTTAGCAAGTTAGGATTTATAACCTTCGAGGAACTCTGGGCATGTTGCCAGCCTCTCCCTGTCTTATCTCAGTCCACAGAGTTCATATACTAAATAAAATACCTGAAGTAGAAAAGTCAGTTAATCTGCATGACCCCGGTTACTTCTTTAAACCCATTTTAGTTCAATATACTTTAAAACCTTGAACCATCACGAAAGTGATGACACAGTGAACTAAATTCATAAAGATACAAACAGCGAACAGATTCATATTGAGGCCACTTTATCTGCTTAGATAATAAGCATTTATAAATTGATCTCTCAAATGAAATTTTCCAAAAAAAATTACCAGTAGTTCTTTACCAATTCTTTTTACCAATAAAAGTTTTATGGTTCAATTAAGTATTTTTTATTTTCTCTTAGAAAGGCATTTGCTCAAGGAGACAACCATTTCTGAATCTTATTTATTGTATTGCTTATCCTATTTTAGACACCCTTTAAAAGTCACAAGCTTCAAGGGCACACCTTTTCAAACTCTGTAAGAGCAACAAAAATGGCTATAGCATGGTTAAAGAATTACAGTTTAGGATGTGAGGGCGATCTGGCTGCGACATCTGTCACCCCATTGATTGCCAGGGTTGATTCGGCTGATCTGGCTGGCTAGGCGGGTGTCCCCCTCCTCCCTCACCGATCCATGTGCGTCCCTCCCAAAGCTGCGCACTCGGTTGAAGAGGGCGACCTTCCCCCCCCCCCCCCCCAGGAGAGGACCGGTCTTCGGTCAAGGGTATACGAGTAGCTGCGCTCCCCTGCTAGAACCTCCAAACAAGCTCTCAAGAATTACAGTTTAAAAGCCATTCCAACATTTCATTTTCCTGTCTGTAATCTGTCTCTCTCTGAAATTTGTTGAGACTTACTTTATAGTCCAGTATTTGGTTAATTTTGCCTAATTTTTCATTTGTACTTGAAAAGTTCTACTTTTCTCCCAAATTTGCCTGTTCATTCCTGGTGCTCTCTTATGGTTTGTTTATCTTAGCAATGGTTTCCTTTGTTTTCTTTTTTTTCTAAATTAAATTGTGAAATATAACATGCATCTTAGGGGGGAAGCATAATTCAAATAATAGCCACAAAACAAATAACCACATAACCCCTCCTCCAGTTCAAAAAATAGATTATCAGCAGCTAAGGAGCCACATATCCGTGCCTTTCTGATCACAATTCTGTCCCTCCCTCACAATGTAACCATTATCCTGACTTAGAGCAATTCCCCTGCTTTTTTAAAAAAATTTAAAATATATTTTTTACTGATTTCAGAGAAGAAGGGAGAAGGAGAGAGAGAGAGAAACATCAATGATGAGAGAGAATCATCGATTGGCTGCCTCCCGCATGCCCCCACTAGGGATCAAGCCCACAACCCGGGCATGAGCCCGACCAGAAATTGAACCTGGGACTTTTCAGTCTGCAGGCTGATGCTCTATCCACTGAGCCAAACCAGCCAGGGCACAATTCCCTGCTTTTTATTTAAAATATATTTTATTGATCTTTTACAGAGAGGAAGGGAGAGGGACAGAGAGCTAGAAACATCGATGCGAGAGAAACATCGATCAGCTACCTTCTGCACACCCCCAACTGGGGACCTGCCTGCAACCAAGGTACATGCCCTTGACCGGAATCAAACCTGGGACCTCTCAGTCTGCAGGCTGACGCTCTATCCACTGAGCCAAACCAGCCAGGGTATAATTCCCTGCTTTTAAAAATAAACGTCCTGCCTCTGTATGCATCTCTAAACAGAAGGGCTTATTTTTACCTCTTTTTGAATTTTAAATCTATAACTACATTGTGTATATTATTTTGTGTCCTGCTTTTTTACTCAACATTATTCATTTATGTTTTTGTAGGTATCTCCAACTTGTTCCTTTGTTGCATTTTAGTTTATTGTTATTATTCTATAATATTCAATTGTATCAAAATTGATCTATCCTACAGTTGGTATGTTTTTGGATTGTTTTCAGTTTGAAGTCAATTATTAACAACTAGAGGCCCAGTACATGAAATTTGTGCACTAGGGGGGAGGGGGGGAAGTCCCTCAGCCCTGCCTGCACACTCCCACAGTCCGAGATCCCTCAGGGGATGTCTGCCTGCTGACTTACATCCCTCTCACAGTCCAGTGGAAAGGCCCCCACCACTGCCGCTGCACTCGCCAGCTGTGACCCAGGCTTCTGGCTGAGCAGTGCTCCCCCTGTGGGAGTGCACAGACCACCAGGGGGCAGCTCCTGTGTGGAGCATCTGCCTGCTGATGGTCAGTGTGCACCATAGCAAACAGTTGTTTCACTGTTCAGTCAATTTGCATATTATTGTATAGGATCAGTCTGTTCTAAGATTCATTGTTTATATACAAATAGAGACTATCCAAGGAAAATGACTTCATTGTTTGGAGCTGAAATTTAGTAATTAAGAGGAAATTCTGGACAACTAAAATAGTCATTTTAATGCTGATGGAGAACCATCACTTAAAAGGCTCCCACCCAAAATTTAAGGATGATGGCAAATATCCTTGTCCCCAACACTATTCCACCCTGGGGTCAATGCAAAGTGTTCTAAGTTTAATCTTGGAAAACTATTTAAGGGCAAAGTGCATAGATATATTCTCATTTTCGATGTCCATGGCAAACCAGAGAGTTCAGGCTGGACTTTCAGATCATTATACATTTCCATGAAAGACTTTCTTAAGAGTTTAACCTGGGTGAGTCATGCAAATTAAAAGAAAAAATAGTCATTATTTCTTAATTATCCAAAATTAAGACTGTTACCACATAAACAGATAAGATCAGGTCCTCAGATCAGTGGTTTTTATGACTCTGTACATAAGCAAAGAACGCTTTGATGAAACAGGAGGGGAGCCAGGAGTATACTAGAACCTCGTTTGCGACTTTGGACTTAAGTAATCATCTTAACACACCTTAAATGCACATATATTACCTAGAGATGGAAACAAGGGCTTGGAGGAGTTTCTTTGTTACTAATGTTGTGGCCCCACCCCATAACAAAGAAACAGACTTTCCGGAGGATGAGGCCCAGCAATCAGGATTTTAAAAAGATTCCCAGGTGATTCTAATGTGCAGCCAAGGTTGAGAACCACGGATCTAGGGCCTTGATATGGTGGTATATGGTAGTCTGAGTGTTGGGGGTTCTTGTGCAAACTGTGGGTGCTGGGAAGGAGAAGAGCCAAGGTAGGAGAGGAAGGTCTAAAAAGAGGGGGCAGCAGGATACTCATGACAAACAGGATCTGTTTGATACTCTTGCCTGGCCTGGCTATGCTTATAGAACAGCTCTGCCAGACCATCAGAAAATGGAGATTAAGCAATCAAGAGGCAGGCCTTTTATTTTCAGGACAGCTCAGCATCTAATAACAGCTCTGGGTTACGAAGATTTGAGGTTTTCCTCAGTTAATCTTCTAAGAGACACATCAAGTTCTTCAAGTGCTGTTTCTTACATTCCTATCATGGTAGGATGGTGACTGTACTTTGTAAGATGTGAGGTTTAGTTGATAGCCTTCCCTGAGTTTCTGGGTTCAATGGCACAAAGTATAGATTTAAAGGCAGGAAAAAAAGCCTTAAAGGTCATTTAGTTGAGGGATTCTTGGCCTTCATGTGTATTGGCTCCCTTCACAGACAAATATTTCAATAAAAAGGGCGGGGGTGGGGGGGAGACTAATAAGACCTATGGACCTCTCCTTCAAATATTGTTTTAAAATGCATAAAATAAAATGAAAAAGGACTACAAAGGAAACCAATTCCATTGAAAAGGAGTTATCAAATTAAAAAAAACAAATTTGTGATATAATAGTATATACGCTTCATTGCTGATGCCTTGAGATCTAGCTTCAGGCCCAATAACTGCTGCAGCTCAGAAGGAGCACTGAGTACAAATGGTAAGTTGAGATATCCACAACTCTTAATGGGGGATGAAAATATCAGTGGTTTGTACTGGTGACAAAGTCATTGCCACTGCAATACTAGTGGGGCTTGTGTTTATAGTTTAAGAAACTGCTA